TTGCATGAATGATGGATGGTACAAATTTTGGTCACACAATCTGACCATTTTATATTGGTTTTTAGAGAGAGAGAGAGAGAGAGAGAGAGAGAGAGAGAGAGAGAGAGAGAGAGATGATATTTGCATTGCATGAATGATGGATGGTACAAATTTTGGTCACACAATCTGACCATTTTATATTGGTTTTTAGAGAGAGAGAGAGAGAGAGAATCGTACTCCAAAATTTTCAAACCAAAGCGAATTTCATGGAAATTCTACAACGTTGAATATTTGGCTCGTTATTTTAAACTTTATATCCTTTCTTATTCATTTAACAATAACCAGTTTGACGAATGTGCATAAATCTTATATATTTACATAAGTTGATGCATTATTTATGCTTGTGTTAAATTGTGATTTGCAAAAAAGAGTAACGTCATGTGTTCATGTGGGTGGGACATGTGTTTTCACAAGATGGAGGAAAGCATGCGATGACTTCTCAAGGAAGTCACTCATCCTAGTTGTTCTCTCACAGAAACCCATTTAACTTTAAAATTCAGATAGAATTCGGTGCATTTGAGTTGTTATTAATGATTGCATCCAATTTAATTTATCTTTTTTATTTGGGACAAGCTAATTATTGATGTTTTTGCCTTGTGTTGTTTTAGACCATGATTTTGAAAATACACACTTTTTATTTTTATTTATTTTTTTTTTTTACAAAACACAATTTTAGTCCTAACTTTTTTAAGAAGTTGCTTTTAAAAAAATTTAAGCAACCCCACAAACTAGTGTTTGAGCCTAGAAAAAGCACCATCGCTTAAGCATTATGTTGCCTTGGATCCAACCATATATTCAATGCAGTTCATCTTAAATCAATTTAACGGATTGGAATGTTCTTATTAGTTAAATTAAGAAATAATCTTTGACAAAAGCTGAGGAAAGGGATCCCTTCTGCCTAATCCTCTTTATCAAACAATCTGGCTCTTGAAATTTGATCCAACGGCTAAGAATACGGGCTTACTTTAAAAGTTATAATAACTTTAGCCGTTATATCACATTTTAAAAGCCCTGATTGTTTGATGAGAAGGATTTAGGTGGAAGGGATCTAGAGAGGATCCCTTTCCAAAAGCTAAGAGCAACTCAACCCTACCAAATTGCCAAGCGATTACTGTCGAGGCTATTGAGCAAGCCATTATTGTATTTAGTAAACAGTAAATGTACAAGCTCATCTCCACTTCTAAATTGAATAGCCCAACCTATTAGTATTAAAATATTAATTTTATTTTTATAAAATAATAAAAAATAATTTTATTTTAAATTTCGGATATGATTTTTAACCAATTTTGTCATACACGTGTCATTAACCGAAACTACAAATTTTGTAGATAGATTATTTAGTAGATTTTTACCCAATTGGCAATATCTACAACCTTATCCTTTTTTTTTCTCTCCATATATACCCTATATCCTAGGACTGGGCACAGGCTGGACCAGACTAAACCCATACGAAAATGCAAAGGGGCGGATCGGGGTGAGTAATGGGATTTTAAATTTTAGAACTAGACCTAACCCGACCCGTTTGAAATAGGCCAATTCGGGCTGGGTCCACCAGTCCAATTACAATTTTTTTAGGTCAACACATAAAGGACGAACTAAAGGTCGTGTTCTTCGGCACAGAAAAGAAAATACCAAAGTCATCTTCCCTAATGACAAGACCGTCGCTGCAACCAAACAACCAGATTCAAAGAGCGATTAATATTCTTCAAAAATTAGAAATTGCATATAGAATTTCAGGACATGGCATGCTGTATAAGAACTCATCCTCGAGTAGTAATATGGTCGACTGAATAACCTCAGGATTCGCGACGCCGATGGACTTGTTGTCGGCCATGGCAGTCTAGTCCTGGATCGTGGCGATAAGGTCATCGATTGAGTCAAGAGCAACACGGAACTGGCCGAGTCGGACCAGATTGGGTGGTCAGCAGCCGAGTTAAGCCCATCATCTTCTCCGATTTGGAGCTTCACAATCTTCGTCTTCTCTAATGGTGAGGTGATTTCGTGAGTTGTGACTTGTTTGGTGGGCCTAATGGCTGTTGTTATGTTGACACAATAGAGGGGTGGGAGGGAGAAGAGAACGAGAACAGAGAAAGAAAGTGGGGCAATCTGGGAATGGGGGAAGAAGACTAAAAAAGTAAAGCAATTGTTATGGTAGAACGGGTCAGTTCGGGGCCTCGGGATTTTAAAATTATGGAACCGCCCGCCCATGTACATACCATTTCCCCGCCCCATCCCGAACCTGCCCTGACCCACGAATCTTGTACCCGTTTGCTTAACCATACTGTATCCATCCTAAAGTAACACACCAAAATGAAAATCTCTGAAAATCCTTCTTATAGTTCAGAAATCTTAAGTTCTTATAATGTCTTGTTCAAGGAGATTGTTAGAAATCGTTGAGCTAGAGAATGAATTGTTCGATCTTGAGGAGGGAGGAAATGCGTTGTTCGAGATATAAGAGCAAGAGGGTGAAGAACGTAGAAGGAGAAATGATGAAGCAAGAATTGAGAAAGCCTCACATATCCGTCGTGTCATGCATGCTATGGGGTCATTTGACATGCTTTTCTTTTATGTTCTAGGTCAATTCCTAGTGTTCAATGATGTGCTGTAAGCAAGAGCTCCTTAAGTCACATAAGCAATCAATGGAACTGTGTACTCGGGAGCGTACTACTTAGCAGACGACATTTATCCAATGTGGACATCATTTGTCAAAATAGTGACAAAGTACAAAGGAGAAACACTTCGCATGCCAAGAGGGGTGTACGAAGGATGTGCAATGTTGTTTTGGTAAACGCCAAGCTCATTGGGCAATTGTCAAGGGTGCTGCAGATTGTTTGATGTAAAGGCATTTTGATCCATCATGATAACATGCATCATTCTTCACAATATGATTGTAGAATATAAGTATGATTATGATGCCATTTATGAATCTGAACCAAACATGATGAACAATTCCAGAGCACAGATATATTATGCTCATGACGCCACCAAATAACCTGTGCAACACAAGTCATTGGAAAGGAATTGACGTTACAATGGAAGAGTCATTGAACATTATACTTCTATTCAATCTTCATACATTCACAATAGGCGTCAAAGTGGCTTGATTAAGCACTTGTGGGCATTGAAACAAGCTAAAAAAATTTAAAACAAGCTTCTGTGGAAGAAAAATGTTCTTAGTAGGTTTTTTTTTATTTTTTTTAAAGTTTATTTGGTATGTTTTTGTAAGTTTATTTGATGTTTTTTTTAATTTTATTTGATGTGATTTTGTAATTTTATTTGTGTGTTATTTATGTTGTTTAGAATAAATATGCTTTTAGTTTATATAACAATTCTCTTATTTTAAATAACATACCAAATTCTGCCAAAAAAAAAATTAAAATTAAAAATAACATACCAAATTGAATAGAACAAAATTTATAAATTTTTTTTGTATTTTTTAATAATTTTTACCTAACCTAATTAATATGGACCATTGGATTACATTCTATGATTAATCCAAAAGCCCATATTTTGACACATAATCCCAACGGTAATAATAAGATTTTTTTTTCTTCTGATTTTTCTTTATTTTTTAATTTTGAAGCATGAAAAATCTGGATCTTTGACTGGAATATCTAATGACCAGAATTTTTATCACATCCCGACCTAGGCCCCCACCACATTCCGGGCTCGACTCTACCGTAGCACGATATTATTCGCTTTGGACCCTGACCACGCCCTCATAGTTTTGGTTCTGGGAACTCACACGAGAACTTTCTAGTGGGTCACCCATCATGGGATTGCTCTCACGTGAACTCGCTTAACTTCGGAGTTCCGATGGAACCCGAAGCTAGTGAGCTCCCAAAAGGTCTCGTGCTAGGTAGATATGAGAATATACATATAAGGCTTACATGATCCACTCCCCTGGACGATGTGAGATGTTACAATCCACCCCCCTTAGGGGCCCGACGTCCTCATCGGCACATATACATATAAGGCTTACATGATCTACTCCCCTGGACGATGTGAGATGTTACAATCCACCCCCCTTAGGGGCCCGACGTCCTCATCGACACACATCCGGCCATGGATTGGCTCTAATACCAAATTGTCATATCCCGACCCGGGGTCCCATCATGTCCCGGGCTCGACTCCACTGTAGCACGATATTGTCCGCTTTGGGCCCCGACCATGCCCTCACGGTTTTGTTTCTGGGAACTCATACAAGAACGTCCCAGTGGGTCATCCATCATGAGATTGCTCTTGCGCAAACTAGCTTAACTTCGGAGTTCCGATGGAACCCGAAGCCAGTGAGCTCCCAAAAGGCCTCGTGCTAGGTAGAGATGAGAATATACATATAAGGCTTACATGATCCACTCCCCTGGGCGATGTGGGATGTTACAATTTTCCATGTGTACTAGCCATTATTTTCAAATTCAATTTTTTTTTAAACCATTGGAAATCCAACGGTCTAGACAGAGCCATGTCGTCCCCACCCCAGATCAGCTAAGTGTGCTTGCAGCGCGGGCCCCACCTTTGTATTTCTGTTGGTTCACTCGCTGGTACTAGCACTTGTAACTCACGCACCTAGCCAAAAATAAAAAATTTACGTGGCTAACGCCGAATTCACCTAGTCGGTGGGCTAGGCAATTCGATCCCGTGTGGTCTATCAGGCTCCCCTGGAGCCTAGTTGATTGGGTAGAGCTAGAGTGATTCTAGGGAGAGGCTTTTAGATTGCCCAATAGCTCAAGCTATTTTCTTGGGATGGACATGCTCTAAGACGAACCACGTGCTGTATTTTGGATAGATAATCATAACACGCCCTATTAATTTTAAATCTTATGACTCAAATGAATTACGTCAATCTTAGGATCATTTTGACTAACAAAATCAGTTTTTTTATGGAGAATATTAGGGTACTAACAGTCAGTAACCCAATTTAATTGACCATCTATGTGGCCCAATGATTTTAAGACATCTGTTAATCCCAACACTCTGCTAACTTTGTAACCAAACGCGAACCAACTCTTTAAACCCAATACCAAACAGAACTCTTCCTCTTCGATATCTGCAAATCTTCCAAGCCGCTATGGTTTCTTCTTCAGCCCACCTTTTCTCCTCCATCTTCTCTCCTCAACTGATCCCATCACCGCCCCAGTCCCTCTTCCAACCGTTGATTCAACCGCTGCAGTGCGAATGACGGCTACGAAATCTGCAGCTATGTGGGTTTGTCGGCGGCAAGGCTGGTGAAGGACCCGACTTCATCTTGGCGAGTGAGATCGAGCACGGCGTGGCTGTGGAGGACAAGATTGGTGAAGTGAAGTCTATGGCTTGTATCTGGAAGATGATGGCACAGCCGACGAGGTCGCCGTGACCGGCTCTGAAGATTTACGCAGACTTGTTGGAGAGGAGGAAGACTATTGTTTGGTCACGGGTTTAAAGCATGGATTTGTGTTTGGTTACAGAGATGGCAAAGCCCTCGGATTGACAGTTGTTTTAAAATTATTGGGCCAAGTATATAGTCAGTGAAATTGGATACTTACTGATCGGTACCCAATTATTGTCCTTTTTTTATTGAAAAATTGTAACAAATCACAAGTTTTTTTTTTTGGCAAAAAAAAAAAAAAAAAAATCACAAGGTCCAATTTTGACACAGCAAAAGGTCCCGCAGCCAAACAAAGCCCTAATATAGTCAGCCGAGAACTCCGAGTCTCTCAGACACGCAGGTCGCTTCCACACTATCATGCGCACTGCGGCTGTCACCTCTCTCTGTTAGTCCATGGCTCACTTGAAGACCAATTCTCCTCTCTCTCGTTGCATCGTCCGCTCCTTCTTGGATTTCCTCAATTCCGGTCTCTCTCTCTCTCTCTCGATATATATATATATATATAATTGTAATTGCAATGTGATATATAGATATAGTGAAATTATTTCTAGGGTTTCAAGCTCGTTCCTTGCATTATTTTTATTACATTGATTTTGGATGCCTCAAAGTATTGATGAACTTATACACTTGAAATGTAGACTTTGAATTATTTCTGTACCATCAATGTGCTTGTTGATTAATTCTTTCAAATTACTATTATGGGTTTCGAATCCCTCACTGATCATGGGTTGTTTTGTTTCGTTTCGGTTGGGGCAGTTGAACCAGCTTCTGGTGTTGATAATGAAAGCATTGAGGTTGCAAGGGAATGCTTGCATGAGGCTTTTAATCTTAATACATCTGTTGCTGATGATGGGATTGAACCCCTGTCGTTGGTTGATCTTTTTAGTTCACCGGAGTTGAACAAGCTTCGGGAGAAGAAACCTGATCACGTTCATCGATCAAACTCAGTTGATGCTCCTGGTTCATCGGCTGCACCGGGGGCTGATAATGCCAATCTTTCGAAGGTATAAAATTCTCTGGGGCTTTCACATTATTTTGATCATTCCTTAGAAATTCTTATGTAAATCACCATGGGTGTAATGCATTATAATTGTTTTTTAGTCATCTATAAGTTAATATGGACCATGAAAATGCAAACTTGCTTACAATCTGAGATTGGAAATTTGGGGAAAATTCGATGAATGAGATCTGTGGGCTAGTAGGCCTTGTCCTTTGTTTCAATGGAAGGAGATGCGGAAGTAAAAGGATACGTAGTGTTAGTTTATGAACAGGAAAGGGGAGGAAGACAGACCAAGTTAGGGTTTGATCTCTTTTGATATAGGTCTTTTTTGATAAAGAGACGGTTTTATTAGGAAAAGAGAGGTGGTCTAGCAGATCAGCCCAAACACCGCTACCCCAACAAGGAACACAGAACCATGAAAACGAAAACAAACAACAACCTAAAATAAAAAACACAGCCAGGCTAGCAAATAGCTGCCTTCCAATCTAAACAAAGCAAGGAAAGCGATATTCCAGTGAACTCACTAGAAACCGAAGCTCATAAAACTGATAGAAACTGAACTTTATCTCAAAGATCCTCAATAATTGGTAAAGGATAGGTATTGGGTGTATATGCTGGTTTTACTTAAGTTGGAGGTTGTTTGATAACAGCCGGAAATAGAAGCAGAATATGTGACTAGGTGAAATATAAATGAAGATGAAATTTGTTTTTAGTATTTGTTAACTATTTGGTTGGTTTGTTCTATTGTTAATTTACAAATGAATTTGTGTACGCTTTAATTAAGTTGTATACTCAATAAATAATTTGATATCAGATTAGTTAACGGGAGCACTTTTCTTTCCTGATTTGAGAACATGCGACTTTTATGTTTTTCTTCATTCTTTTGGTTTATTTTTCATTTTCTTTAAGATCATAAATCCCATGATGCTTTTATAGTTGCATGCATATGGTTGTTTCTTAGTAATATATGTATTTACCATAAGGTTTGAAAGTTTTGAGTGTGACTCTGTTTCATTTCTTGTTTTTAATTTGATCAGGGTAAGGATTTGACAAGCAATCACCATGATCTAGGTATTGCATTTACACTTTTGTTGCTTTTCTCTAATTCTATTTTACGTTTCTTATATGCGTGTCCTTGCCTTGTTGGGTGGTTTATTAAGTTTGGCTAAACTGCTTCCAATTTTGTACATGAAATTCATCATTGGGTGAGTTCCTTAAGAGGAATATTATCTGTTGCATCTGCAATTAAATGAATCATCTCTAGGGATTGAACTACTGCCTTAAAAGTTTTTTTAGGTGTGCCTCAAGGTGCACTTCGATGCAAAGCATTAGAAAATTTCTGTTACGGGTAGATTTGTTTTAGCTCTTTCATGGAAGGCTGTGCAACACGAATGTAGGCTAAGCTGTTAGCGGTGAAGAAGACGATTTTTCTGAGCCTTATACTTTTTTTGGAAGTTTTTATCCATTTACCGAAATTTTTCATTTTTATTCAATTCATTAATGGCTGGTTTTATAATCAAAACGTAAATTTTTGTTTAATCCCTTGATGAACCCTGCTTATTCTTCTTCCCCCTCCTACCCGATAGAGCTCATCCCCAAAGTAATGTTTTTTAAACCCTAATCTTCCTTCCAAAGGATGTGAACTAGCCCTTGTAGTTAGCTCTCCTCATTCTTTCCTCTTTCCTAGACTTCTCCAGGATTTTCCTTTTGTGTATATGGTTCTCCCACCTTCAGTCGTACTCGTATGTCAGATACTTCATAGCCATGTCAATGGTGCTTTTTTTAACCTGCTCCGTATTAAATATATACATGTCCCAGTACTTTCACAATTTTTTAATTTACAGTTTTTTAATAAAATAATTCATGTTTCGAATGGTATACTTCTCAATGCCTCAAGGCTTATGCCTTGCCTTGCGAGACCAAAATAGACTCACCTTAATGGGCTCACCTATGAAACGTTGGTTTACACTTCCAATTGCTGTCAGAATCATTACTTTATAAATTATATAAATTATAATGTCCGGGTTGTTGACCAAAAAAAAAAAAAAATATAAGGTCTGGGTTAGGGGGTTATGCATACTGGATTAGTACTAAATCATTTTAGGAGGATCTTGCTCAAAGAGAACAAAAGTTAAAAGTTGTCTAATTCAATTTGATAATTTCATTGAATCTGCACATGAATCACATACTTTAAATGGAATTGTGTTGGCATTATGCAATGAAGTTTTTGTCACAGTTTACAGTGCATGTTACATTTCATTTGATGATCATATTATTGGCAGGGGAGTCTAAAGACGCACTGTTTGGGCAATTCTTTTCTGCACTCTTTGAGAGAAGCCTCTTTTTTAAGACCCTGCCTGATGGTAGTGATGACCCGGTGAGATTAGAGAAAGCGACTAAAATATTCCACGAGGCTTTAGCTGTATGCTCTCTCTCTCTCTCTCCCCTCTCCTTTTTGGTATGGGTTTTATTTATTTTTGTTTAGAAAACTTCAATTAAAAGAAAAAGAAAGCTACAAGGACAAATCAGAAGTCCGTCATATTTTTGTGAAGAATTATTCTTTAGCCATGTCTACACTCTTTGAAGAAGACCGTGCTATGCATCTATTGTTACATGCTAAATTGCTGAATTCACATATTGTTAACATATCAGGTAAGCAGTAAAGGTTCGCTTTGGTAATTGAGAATTTTAATTGAAGCTTAAGAATAGAAAATTAAACTGTATATGGAACGTGAAGTATTGAAATTAGATAAGGAAAACTGATCACGCACTTCATTGTAAAGATAAATGTATTGATTTGGCCTCATACAACATCATTATGTTGTAGTTCCTAATGATTCTGTAGCTTTGAGAACTGACACTGGAATCACCATTAAAATATACAAGGCAATGTGTCTGCTGCACACTCTTGATGAGTTGCATCTAGGATTTGCGACTCCGAGGGAAAGCTAAGATTTAAGGATTGGGACTGATGGGAAGGGATTGGGCAATTGAGTTACATGAAGTTTGACATCAACCCCTATGGTTTCAAACTTCCAGCGACATAAAGTATTGTGCTAGATAATATCCAATTCCTTTCTGCTTATATTTCATAATCCTTTTTATATTTACATTTGAATTATTGCTTTCATCTTGGAACTCTTGTACCCTTGGTTTTTTACTCCGTTATTGTTTCTTAAATGGAATTCTCTTGCTGTCACTTTTCAATCCTTCTTAATAAGAAAAAGACCATTTGCTGCTTCAGGAGATGGAAAGATCTGGATGCATGGAATTAAGTCCTAAAAACCTGGCAGAGACCTTGAAATCACAAGGTAATTAAATGATATTGCCTTGGTTGCGTTGTTAGCGTGTTGCTCTTGAAGCAACTGTACAATGTCAAGTTTCTGTAAATTTGAGAAAGACTTCACTCATTTATCTCTCTGTTTCTCTCTCACATCACTGTCTTGTTATACGCACCAGTTTCTTTTTTCTAATATCATTGGAATGACAATGCATCACAAGCATTTATGAATATCTGTATCTTACCGCTTGTCAAATACGGCACTCTACGCTGATATTGAACGTCAATATTCTATCCAGAGGCTGATTCTTTGATTTGATTTTTATGTTGTTAGGTAATAGGGGCATGCAATCAAAGCTGTACCCCAAGGCAATTGAGTTGTATGATTGTGCCATTGCCCTTTGTGAAAGTAATGCCATTTACTACTGTAACAGGTGCACTACCAACTTGTCTTTAAATTATTGGTACTAATAATTGTTCCGTAACAGTTTCAATCTTCTACGTTTTCTCATTTTCCCAGAAGGAATAACAAAGAAAGATATCTAGTGCAAATTAATCTTAATGACAAAACAAAAAATTGTTGCAACAGATAATTCTCATTATTTTCAGATCATATTCGAAAAATGGTGCCTTAAACATGCTAGTTTGCCTAATGAACGGTTAAAAAATATTGTAACTCTTTTACCCAAGCTTTAATGGGGAAGTCCCAAGTTTTCATTTTCTATTTAGGGTTTCATCCTTATTGTTTTATTGAAACCACACATTTAATTAATGTATATGGCGTATATTCAGGGCAGCTGCTTACACTCAGATGCACAAATATACTGAAGCAATCGAAGATTGCCTTAAGTCAATTGAAATCGACCCAAATTACAGCAAGGCATATAGTCGTCTGGGATTAGCTTACTATGCACAGGGGAACTACCATGACGCTATAGAGAAAGGGTTTAAGAAAGGTAATTGGGTAACCTATGCTAATGCCAGCTTATGGTATACAAAAGAATTTGGAAACAGATGTTTACAAAATAAGGTAGTATTTGACATCTTAGTGGGGATTTTATCTTTTCAGTGTTGCAATTGGATCCGAACAATGAAGCTGTCAAAGAAAACATTCGGGTTAGTTCTTGTGTGCCTTCTTTTCTTTATTTCTTATGACTACTGCTTTAAACCACTTTGTTAATTTGAATCCAATAGGTGGCTGATCAGAAACTGAAAGATGAACAACGACGAGTGGAATCTGGTCAGGTAAGACATTCATCTTAAAGACAGGTCAACAGTACTCCCCCGTTTTTAGCTACTTTCTTTCTTTAGGTTTTCCTTTCATCTGAAGTTCTCAACTGTTCTAAGAATGAGAACGCAATACTTTTCATGGTGGTGAAGGATATGATTTATTAACAAGTATGCTTTGTGACTTGTAAGTAATTTTTTTTTCTCTCATCTATTACAGAACACCAGTTCGTTTAGTAGTAGTAATGGTTCAGAACACCCCAACCAGTCTACCGAAGGGTCAAGAAACCATGCTGCACCGCCTCCATTTGGTTCTATGCCCTTCAATACAGGTGCCCTTCCTGCTGAATTTGCCAGTATGTTCATGAACATGGCTGCAAATGCATACCAAGGACAACATTCTCAAGATAGCCAAGGAAATGATAGCGGCACCGACGGATCTGATGAACCGGGAGTAAGGATTGGGGGTAACATCAACTTGAATTTCGGAGAACAAATGCCTGAGGAACTATCCGGAGCTTTGAGATCGGTGATGGAAATGTTTTCAGGAGCAGCAGCATCCCATGGAAATTCACAAGATACTAGGAGTGAAAGACCAAGACCGAGCTAAAGAACTGCAGCGCGTTGGAACTGTATAAATTCTCACAACCCTTTTTGTATCATTGCTGTCCAAAATAAACCTTGGGAAATGACGAGACGAAACGGGAGTATTAACACATCCTTGGTCATTTCAATCGATGATTAGAAGGGTAGTTTGGTAATTTGAGAATGACTATGTTGGTTGAGAAATGTACAAAGGTTTGGAACAAAACTTATATATCTCCGTTGCATGCACGCTTGTTCATGTCTTCCTCTCTTCTCACGTGATTTTCTTGCATGCTTTATTTGTTCGGGTTGGACGGCCATTCAGTTGTTCTTACTTTTTTTTCTCGTGTGATTCTTCTCGCATGCCCGTCCAAATTCCGGTTGTGTGCATCGTGCACTTGGTTTCTCTCTGTTTCACGACAAGATATGTTGGTAAGGCCATTCCCACGTGTGTGTGTGTTTTTTTTTTAATCCAAACCTAACTAATTGGGCGGCCTAGTATCACCATCCCTGCTCCTTATCCTCGTTTTTAATGTTGCGCCAGGTCGATTAGACCAACGTACACACGCTCCAATGGGGTTTTTATTTTTGTCGGAGTAGAAATTACCAAACTTCTAGCGTTCTCTCATGCTTGGCTTTAATGAGTTTTTTATTTTATTTGAGAAAAAAAGAAAAAACTATACCTTTGTGCTACATGAAATATGAATATAACAAAGCGACAAAATCATTTTTTTTAGATTTTGGTAAAACCTTTTTGTTCTCTCTCAACAAAATTTTGGAAAATGTTTGTCACCTTACACTTATCGTGAGGGCACCTTTTTGATAGAAGACATACAATTTAACATGTATAGTCGTGTACTTTTCACATGTCAACTCATTACTTGTACCAAAAAGTAAATTACAATCAAGAGGAAGACTCCTTAAATATCATGCAAAAATAGAGTGTGAGTTAGTTTAGTCTGTCAAAAACGTATATAAATAGCGTATTAAAGTGAGTTGTTTGAAATATTGTCTTGTGCTGAGCCATATAGCATGAGTTTGTAACTAAATAGGGTATTAAAGTAATTGGTTGTATGAAAAATTAAATCAAGAGGGGGAGAGATTCATTATTATCTCAATATTGAGGTCACATTAAGAACTCCCCAAGCCTTCAGGTTTGTAGGATACACCCATCTCTGATAGGTGTGTAACAAACCACAATTGCTCTCCATCTAAACTACATATTACTAAAACTCTCTTTGTCAACCCAAAGATCAATGAAATTACAATTATAATCTTTAACACATAACTGGTAAAAATATTAAAAAAGAAAAAAAATGTGGGCATTAAAGTAATTTCACACAAAAAAAATTTTGCTTGTTCTTTTTTAACCTCACCCTATTGCTACCCTCTAAACTCTCTCTCTTTCTCTTGTCAACTCCTTTTTTTTTTTTTAGGAAAACTAACCAAAAGGGCTTAAAAACATTAAGTTTTAATCAAAAACCATGTTACAAGTTTAATTTTAAATCAGCCCAATAAGAATGGCCCAAGCAATAACATTCCGCTTTTGCCCTTGACAGCAAGCTTTATCTCTCCCTCCCTATTTCGATCTCTCCGTCTAATATCTGTAAGCTCGATTTCGTCCTTGAGGTCCTGCCATGGCGTCTTCTGAACCTCTTCGATGCTCAGCTTCTGCAAGCCTAGCCTCGACATGCTCTCTTCCAGGAACTCTCTCCAGCATCTTCTGTACACGTGCGAGCACTCCTTTCCGAACCCCGCCGCCACCATCCGCTTAGCAATCTCATGGAGGTTGTTGATGGTTCCAAAAGGAAGCGCATCGATCACGATGTCGTAGTCGTCGATTGGCTGAGCAGTAGGGATTTGGTGTTCCTCACCGTCCCCGATTACCTCATCCTCCTCTTCTTCTTCATCATCTCCCGAGTCAAACGACAACACGCCATTCGACTTGCCACGAAACACGCGATTGAGTTTTCGTGACTCGCCGCCGCGTTCGACCAAGGATCTGAACTCGTCCTCGAGCCGGAACATGGCCTGCCGCATAAGATAAAAGTTGTTTTCTAGGAATGATGACTTATGGTTTTTAGTTTGGTATTAGCATTTGTTGTTTGGACACAGGTACTGTTTTTGTGTGTTAGGTAGTGTATAATAACTTCAAGAAGGATAAAAATGGCTACTGGAAGTGGTTCGCTGGGAACCTGGCATCAGGCGGTGCTGCTAGTGCTTCATCTCTTCTTTTTGTATATTCTCGGGACTATGCAAGAACACGTTTGGCAAGTGATGCCAAGGCTGCCAAGAAGGGTGGTTGAAAGGCAGTTTAATGGTTTGGTTGTGTTGGAATTTTCGTGTATCGTGGACTTTACTTTGGAATGTACGATTCTCTAAAACCTGCGGTTTTAACTGGTGGCCTGCATGATAGCTTCTTTGCTAGCTTCTTGTTTTCTTGTTGGGATGGGGAGTTACAATTGGAGCTAGATTAGCTTCTTACCCCATTGACATAGTGCGCCACGGATGATGATGACCTAAGGAGCAGCAGTTAAATATAGTAGTTCTCTGGATGTATTTAAGCAAATTATAAAAAATGAGGGTGCTAAGTCGCTGTTTAAACGAAACATTAGTACTATCACTGTTTCGTAAACTAAACACTGACTATTTATCAAACGAACAATAGTACTATCACTGTTTCGTAAACTAAGCACTGACTATTTCTTAAACAGAACACTAGTACTATCACCGTTTTGTAAACTAAACACTGACTATTTATCAAACGAACACAAGTACTATCACTGTTTCGTAAACTAAACACTGACTATTTATCAAACGAACACTAGTACTATCACTGTTTCGTAAACTATTCGTAAACTAAACACTGACTATTTCTGAAACGGAACACTAGTACTATCACTGTTTTGTAAACTAAACACTGACTATTTATCAAACGAACATTAGTACTATCACTGTTTCGTAAACTAAGCACTGACTATTTCTTAAACGGAACACTAGTACTATCACTGTTTCGTACACTAAACACTGACTATTTATCAAACGAACACAAGTACTATTACTGTTTCGTAAACTAAACACTGACTATTTCTGAAACGGAACACTAGTACTATCACTGTTTCGTACACTAAACACTGACTATTTATCAAACGAACACAAGTACTATCACTGTTTCATAAACTAAACACTGACTATTTCTGAAACGGAACACAAGTACTATCACTGTTTCGTAAACTAAATACTGACTATTTATCAAACGAACACTAGTATTATCACTGTTTCGTAAACAAAGCACTGACTATTTCTTAAACGGAACACTAGTACTATCACTGTTTCGTAAACTAAACATTGACTATTTATCAAACGAACACAAGTACTATTATTGTTTCGTAAACTAAACACTGACTATTTCTGAAACGGAACACAAGTACTATCACTGTTTCGTAAACTAAACATTGAACACTGACTATTTATGAAACGAAACACTAGTACTATCACTGTTTCGTAAACTAAATACTGACTATTTATCAAACGAACAATAGTACTATCACTGTTTCGTAAACTAAGCACTGACTATTTCTTAAACAGAACACTAGTACTATCACTGTTTCGTAAACTAAACACTGACTATTTCTGAAATGAAACACTAGTACTATCACTGTTTCGTAAACTAAGCACTGACTATTTCTTAAACGGAACACTAGTACTATCACTGTTTCGTACACTAAACAGTGACTATTTATCAAACGAACACAAGTACTATCACTGTTTCGTAAACTAAACACTGACTATTTCTGAAACGGAACACTAGTACTATCACTGTTTTGTAAACTAAACACTGACTATTTATCAAACGAACACTAGTACTATCACTGTTTCGTAAACTAAGCACTGACTATTTCTTAAACGGAACACTAGTACTATCACTGTTTCGTACACTAAACACTGACTATTTATCAAACGAACACAAGTACTATCACTGTTTCGTAAACTAAACACTGACTATTTCTGAAACGGAACACTAGTACCATCACTGTTTCGTAAAATAAAAAATAGTCAGTGTTCAGTTCAAGAAATAGTTAGTGTTCCGTTTAAGAAATAGTGGCAGTACCATGTTCAGTTTAAGAAATAGTCGATGTTCAATTTAAGAAATAATGACAATATCGTCTTCAGTTTAAGAAATAATTGGTGTTTAGTTTAAGAAATAGTTAATATTTCATTTAAGAAATAGTGATAGTACCGGTGTTCATTTAAGAAATAGTCAGTGTTTTGTTTAAGAATTAGTATGTGTTTATTTAAGAAATAGTCAGTGTTTAGTTTAAGAAATAGTTAATATTTCGTTTAAGACATAGTGATAGTACCAGTGTTCATTTAAGAAATAGTCAGTATTTATTAAGAAATAGTTTGTGTTTATTTAAGAAATAGTCAGTGTTCAATTTATGAAATAGTCAGCGTTCAGTTTAATAAATAGTCAGTTTTCAGTTTAAGAAAGAATGATAGTACTCATATTCAATTCGAGAAATAGGTAGTGTTTAGTTTAATAAATAATGCTATTACCAATGTTCATTTGAATACATATTCAGTATTCAATTGTATAAATAATTCACATTTGTAAGTTTACAACTCCTCCCTTTAAAAACCTGCCAACTTTCTCTACATGCCCAATCTCTCTCCCGCTCAACCCTAAAGAAACCCAAAAGTTGGATTTTTATACTCTCTACATGTTTGCTTAAAGAGAAGCTGAAGGGAGACAAAAAAAACAGCAATTTTGGATCTACAAAAGCCGTGTTCATCAAGTCATTGGCCTTCTTTTGATCTTCTTGGGCATCTTCGACTTACGCTACAATGTCCCATCTGCATATCCTCCAAGTTCCTGCTTGGTCAATGATCCATTGGAATCTTTACAAAGAGCAATGAATATGTCTACACAAAGCACGGGGTTGCAATCAGCAATAGAATTACAGTAGTCTTAAAGTTTTCAATTATAATCACCACATTTATTTTGAGATAGAGAGTACAGATTACATACTGAGCCTAGGACTTTAACAATGGAAAATTCTTGTATTGGGAATATATATTTAGAACACAATAATGAATCCGAAACTCAAGAATGTGAAGTGAAATCAAGACAAGGTAATGGCAATCAAGCCAAAGCCAAGACCAGATAATCATCTCACTCTAGAATGGAATCCTCATACTACACTTTAACTGCAGCATAAATAAGCCACATGTAGAAGAAAATCCATTTAAACAACGGAAAAAGAGGAATGGCAATGGAATGAAAGTTTAGATGTGAAAAGTACCCACCACATATGCGCTGGGTGGATGTCAAAAGAGAACCAGTTTTCAGCTTGCTCATTGTCAGTGACTTCTTCCTCACTTTTCCTAATATTGAATAAAGTTCAGGACATATAGTCAGCAGAAGATCAGAGTTCATTGGGTGTTTCAATTACTATGCAAAAAATATACCTAATGAAGATGATGCAATTAAACACAAAAAAAAAAAAAAAATAAATAAATACAAAAAATCAATCACCCCTCTCCTCTCACTGAAAATCTGGTCGTCTCCTCCGCGAACCCCAATTCCACCACAACCACTGCACATTGGCATCTGAAAGAGACACACTCACCAAAAGGGGCCTGCCTTTCTTTCAAGTGGAAGCGGGAAACGTCGGTGAGAACGGAGTGAACAAATAGCTTGACTGAGAGAGATCCACAACATACTGCAAATTCGAATCCTTCTCTCCTGCCATCGATCCTCCAGAGGGTCCTAATTTCTTCTTCCGCTGCTTTCCTGAGGGAGAAGTGAGCAAGAAGCGGAAGGCCTCCTCTTCCTCCACGGCTTCTGCCGCCGTTGCTTCTCCAGCGGTGAACATTAATGGCGTTGGAGGGATGATGAATTTTAGTAACTGCAACTTTGGCTAACGGGCCTGGGTTAGGCTCCGTTAGGGGCAATTTTGGAATATTAATTGTTATGCGGTTTGGGCTTTTTGTTGAGCCCGTGTGTTTTAGTTTTTGTAGGGTCTGAGATAAAAGTTTTGTGTCCTTATGATTAAAATTTAAGCCATTTTTATTAAATAATAGTTTAGGGTGGTTTTTCATTAAAAAAAAGTTAGCCCAAGCCCTTTTCATTAAAGCTCCATTTTTTTTTCAGATGCCTGCAAACCCAGTTAAAAAAAAATTAAGAGTAATTTTTGAGAAAATAAAAATTTATATTCTTCACACATAAAGTGTGTGGACTTTGCTAGTATTTATAAAAAAGCAAAATAGAAGGCAAAGGGGCGGAACATATTCTTCGTCCAAACCCATTTGGGCCGCTTGCAGAATATCACCCAGATTGTACGGCGTCAAGTACCCAGATCGTACGGCCCGTATTAACCCTCTCCGCGCCAATAATTTTTACAGATAAACAAAAACAAAACAAAAAACGAGTTGACACTTGTTAAGTTCTGTCAGTCTGAGTCTCCAACTCCCCTTCCTCTCGATCCCTCCGCCTCTCAGCCCTTCCCTCACTCTCACTCTTCCCGCCCTCCCTGCTATTAAAACGACCTCGTTTCGATCCCAGTTTCTCAGGTTTTCACTTCCCAATCGCTCGCATTTCGCAATGGAGATGACTTGAAAGTCGAATTTCGGCTTCCCGTGCTTTTGCTTCAACAACAAGGTACCCCGAAACGCAATTTACACGATGAATCTGCTTTACTCAAAAGTGCTTTTTATGCTATTGCTTTTGGATTTCTGCTTCTCCGTTTTGTGTTGCAATGTGCGTTTTATATCAGTTTGTGAAGTCGTTTTATTCTTTCGTTTCACTGCTTTTGTGCTTGTGTTCATGACATGCTTGCTTGCAATGTAAAATGGAAATTAGAAAATTGAAAAATGAAAATAAATGTGAGCACGTTAATAAATTTGAAATAATTACAACGGTTTAAGTCTGATTTTTATAATTTCTAGTCTTTTGCTGTAATTTTGATTGATAAAATTTGAGTGGATGTTAAATTTTCAGGATTGAAATTTGGATATTAATTTGGGAAAAAAATGGGTTCCTACATGGTTGGCGTGCTTGTTCCTCTGTTACTAACAATTATAATTCAGAAATCGATGAGAGCGAAGCAACGGGGTGTGCCCGTTGATGTTGGCGGGGAACCCGGGTATGCAATCCGAAACCATCGGTTTACTGCCCCTGTTGCAACACTATGGAAGGGTGTTACCACTCTTGCAGAGCTTTTCGAGCAGTCATCCAAGCGGTTCCTAGAGAAACGCCTTCTCGGAACCCGGGCATTGATTGCAAGGGAGGTTGAGGTATCAAAGGATGGAAGATCCTTTGAGAAGCTTTGTTTGGGAGACTACGAATGGCTGACCTATGGGAAGGCATTTGAAGTAGCGTGCAACTTTGCTTCCGGTTTAGCTCAACTTGGACATAATAGGGAAGAGAAAGTGGCAATCTTTGCTGACACAAGGAAAGAGTGGTTTCTTGCATTGCAGGTGCATGTCTTACGTGCTCTTCCGACATAAAATTAATCATTCTTCTGACATTTCATAAGATTCCTTTACAGCTGAACCTTAAACTTCCTGAGAGCATGATTTTGTTGCACATATGATGCGTTTTTTTTATATAAATCTTTAAATTATAGTTTTAAACGCCAATGTTTGTATGCAATGATAAGCGGATGAGTTTGTGCACAAATTTCTTATCCCTGACTCTGTTCTTTTTATATCAGGGTTGTTTTAGGCGCAATGTCACTGTTGTTACCATATATGCATCTCTTGGGGAGGAGGCTCTATGTCACTCACTGAATGAGGTTCTCTCTCTCTCTCTTCTCTCTCTCTCTCTCTCTCTCTCTCTCTCTCTCTCTCAGTATACATGGATATATATATATATATATATATATATGTTTATATCTATCTCTGTTTCGCTCTCTCATGGATTGGCACCCACATTCCTGTTGTTTGTCACAGTATGCTTACTATTGCAGAATAGGCTCCTTTCTATACAATTTTTTTTGTCGATTAGAGGTCATGTATGTTTATTTACTTATTTAGTGATTTTTTATTTTTTAAACAATGTATTAAGCACAAGCAATATATTTTAAATTTCACATTGTGACTTTCGTATAGCTCATGCAAATGTTGCAACCTAGTTGGAGGAGCTTTTCACTGACTGGAGATGTGTTTTTGGTGTTAGATTTCTTTGTTTTTGAAAGCAGAAAATAAATGCATTGATGGTGCTGTTACGTTTGTACCACATTAGGGTTATTGTTTGTCATTTGTCCTCAATTTTTTTGTTCTTACTACATGACCAATATCATTTTCATTTTACTTTTCTCCAGACGGAAGTTACAACTGTGATATGTGGGCAAAAAGAACTGAAGAAACTTCTAGACATAAGTGGAAAACTAGATACAGTAAAGCGAATCATATGTATGGATGCCAATATCCCATCTAGTGCCTCATCTGTTCAAAGTCGCTGGAGAATCACTTCATTTGATGATGTTGAGAAACTTGGCCGAGAAAACCCTGTTGACCCCGATTTACCTCTTCCAGCAGATATTGCAGTCATTATGTATACAAGTGGAAGTACTGGATTACCCAAGGTTTAAAGCTTCTATTATATCTTGTTATTTTGGTTTCCGCCTTTTTTTTGTCTATGCACTTTCAGACATGATATTCCTTCTAATTGGTTTCTTAATTGTTGATTGTTGACTTGGGAGTTTATAAAATTTTTGAAGCTTTGTGTGACATTTGTGCCAGTATTGCTATTCCTTTATGTTTCATCTTCACATTGTCGACAGTTGATATATTGTGAGTTTTGGTTTTGAAATTACCCTTAAAAAGTGCTTTTGTCACTGTTAAAGTTTTCAGAAGATAAGGATGCTTGATTGTGATAATTTTATAATGCATTTTTCTAGTTTCTATCTGCATTAAACTGCTGCAGTATTATTAATGTCACTACTCTACTACTATACCCTTTCCTTTTCATTTGATAAATTTCTTCTTATTACTATAGCCTTGAGTTAAATAATAGGAGAAGTAATGAAAGGCTCTTTGTTGCATCCATTCCCCATCACATTTTCGGAACAAAGATATCACTGTGTATCAATTTGGATGGAATTATTTAGTACAGGCATTGCAATTTGCTTATCTAAGCATTGCCTTATGGAGTTAGGGTACAGGGTGGTGAACACTTTATGGGTTGGGTTCAATTAAAGATTTTCCGTGTGGGGATTATGATTTGTGACTACTGATAATTGTATCAATTTATGTCATGCGTATAAATAGAATAGGCACTTGTTGCATCACATATCCCTACATAACCTATTTTCGCTAGATATATAGAAAATATTGTATTATACTCTATTTGATGCCATTCATTTTTGTATACTTATTTTGACCGCAACGGAAAAGTTGTTCAGGCGCAAAGTGGGGAGCCGGGGAAACTTGTTAGCTTGGGGTCACCCTTTTATACTTATCTTGAGTTGGCATCTAATGCAAGTATAGGCATTCATCTAAGCAACAATCACCATTAATTAACTTTCATCTTGCACTTTTTACAGGGTGTAATGATGACACATGCTAATGTGCTAGCTGTAGCTTCTGCGGTCATGACTATTGTTCCCGGCCTTGGAGGCAAGGATGTTTATCTGGCATATCTTCCCCTCGCTCATATCCTTGAATTAGCAGCGGAGGTATGGAAAATATGTAAGCTGGCTAGATTGCATGGCTACAGTGATTCATTGATCATTTTTTTGTTAATGATTATCACTAGCTGCTTTGTTACGTCCTTATATTTCTGGTACCTGATTAACAAGTTTTACTATCTATCTTGAAGAACTTCTTGGTTGCTGTTGGAAGTGCCATAGGGTATGGATCTCCGTTGACCCTTACCGATACGTCAAGTAAAATTAAAAGGGGAACAAAAGGGGATGCAACTGCACTCGCGCCAACTGTATTGACAGCTGTCCCTGCAATTCTTGATCGTGTTCGAGATGGAGTGCTCAACAAGGTTTTGAAACTTCTTGTGCATATGAGATAACAAAATTACATGTGTAGATGCATATACATGTGCGCATTATCCCAATTTTTCCAACACTGTATCTTCATGATGCATGATGCTTCAGGTAAATGCGAAGGGTGGACTAGCCAAGTTATTGTTTCACTTGGCATATACTCGTAGGTTGTCTGCTGTGAATGGCAGTTGGTTCGGGGCTTGGGGCCTGGAAAAGTTTCTGTGGAACCTTCTTGTGTTTAGAAAGGTCCGTGCAGTGCTAGGAGGTCACCTTCGTTTTATTCTTTCTGGTGGTGCTCCTCTCTCGGGTGATACTCAAAGATTCATCAACATCTGCTTTGGGTTAGTATGATTTTAGTACCTTTAACATCTACAAAATACCATATTGTGAACCATGACTTTGTCCTACCTATATTTTTTTTTCATTGATTTGAGATTTGAAATTTGAAAATCACAGTCCACTAAATGGTTAAAATATGAGTAGACCAGATTTTAGTGAAAATGAGGTGGTAGTATTGGTGGTCAAGTCTCTGGCTCTAACGCAGGGCATTATTTCTACGAGTCGTCCCATTTCTTTTAAAAAGGACTATGCTAATCTGTCTCTCAATGCCCTTCAAACCGACACAGTTGTATAGAAATTAAATAAGGACCTAAATTCTGGTTGTAATCATCTTGTAAGTGTAAACATACTATTGCCTTGGGTTAATATGGTCTTAGTACTTTTAACAACTCGTCTTCTTTTAGTTGGTCCACTCATATTTCACCCCCAGGTGTATAGTCTTATGAATTCACAGTCAAAGATTACTGGTGGGACATATTCAGGTTTCTAAGAGGATTATGATACTCCCTCTTTGTTTCCCCTCAGTACATAAACTTTACACATTAATACTAACGGACAAACTCAAATCACACATTAATAAGAAGTTCCTTCGAATGTTAAAATTCTGAGGTGCACAACGACTCAATTGCATTTTTCTGAAGAAACAAATTTATTTTCTTTTGCTCCAGTCTCATCATATCTCATTTGTGATTGATGGCTATTGACAGTTCTCCAATTGGTCAAGGGTATGGCCTCACTGAAACTTGCGCTGGTGGGACATTCTCAGAGTTTGACGATACTTCCGTAGGTCGAGTTGGAGCTCCCCTTCCATGCTCATTTGTAAAGGTAAGAGATGCCAATGGGTATCTTATATTACGTGTTTAAACTGATAACATCAACTTCTTCTTTAAAAGGAAATATGAAAGATAGAAACTTATTTGGCATCCTAATCATGACTTAAGTTGCTTGGAGGTGTTCATTTATGAACTTCTAGATTGATTTGTCTGTTTTTCGTTTTCTGTCAAGGCAAATGGCTTAAGAAGAGCTCTGTACTTTGTTTCCAAGGCACGAAGACGATATTGACTTTAATTATGTTAAAATCTTTTTTTTTTCTTCTGTATCCAGTTAATTGATTGGCCGGAAGGAGGATATCTGAATACCGATACGCCGATGCCTCGTGGAGAGATAGTCATTGGTGGTCCAAATGTTACACTTGGTTATTTCAAAAACGAAGAGAAAACAAGAGAGTCATACAAGGTAGACTGTTGGTTTCATACCATTTTTTCGGTTGCATCTACCCACCAAAGAAAAATTGTTCATTGGAGTCCTAACTTCAGTGAATTTTGCATTTTTGGCTTTTTTGTGAAAAAGGTTGACGAGAAAGGAATGAGATGGTTCTATACAGGTGACATAGGGCGATTTCATGGTGATGGTTGTCTTGAGATAATTGACCGTAAGAAGGATATAGTCAAACTTCAGCACGGGGAGTATGTCTCCTTAGGAAAGGTACGAGTGCTGCAAGATGAATGCAACTTTTCATCAGATTTTCCTCGGGGACTAATGTCTCCTTTACAGGTTGAGGCTGCTCTTTCAGTGTGCCCCTATGTCGACAATATCATGTTGCATGCTGATCCTTTTCATAGTTACTGTGTGGCTCTTGTGGTGGCTTCTCGAGTCACATTAGAAGAATGGGCTGCAAAACAAGAAATCACTTTTACCGATTTTGCAGACTTGTGTTCGAAAGCAGAAACCATAAAAGAGGTGCAAGCATCACTTGTAAAGGTACATATATCTTCTGGATAAATTTCCGTTACTTTAAACTCCGCTTGATTCTAGTGGCCTATCAAAATACTTGAACATACTAGGTGCAATCTAATTTGCTTTGTTCTGGTTCAAATATTTATCTTTTGCCAATTAACAGGAAGCAAAGAAGGCGCGTTTGGAGAAGTTTGAGATCCCTGCCAAAATCGAACTGCTTTCGGAACCATGGACTCCAGAATCTGGCCTGGTCACTGCAGCTCTCAAGCTCAAGAGAGATGTCATTAGGAAGGCTTTCTCAGAAGACCTCGCCAAGTTATACGCTTCCTGATAAATCGAGGGCACCACCAAATTACCTGTTTCTCCATTTTGTTTGTGGCCTTGCTAGGTTTAATGCTAGCCGAAGGACTAGTGTTAGGAAAAATGCGTAGAGTTACTTGTATTAAGTTACTCCAAGCAATAAGAGGAATGATGATATTAGTGTAATTATGTAGCTACTGAAGCAAAATGGTCAGATTTTTGAAGTTTATTTCGAGTTTTTTTGTTGGTTTTACAGCATTGAAAGTAAGACGATCCACAGTAGCAATTTTTGAGAATGCCCCCATCCTTTCTGTATTTTTTCTGATATAAGTTGTTTTTTGAAGTTGTATTTTTCGTTCGTCTTCTCCATACTTTTGTTGGCTGCAAAATTTAGATTTCGTAGAATTTGTCACTTAGTCACTTAATACATCATGTGTTCGATACTCAATTATTACGTATTATGTGGTTTAGCCAACCCTTTAGTGTAACTTTATTGTTTTATCTACATAAAAGGAATTCAACATTTGATTGCCGTATGATGACTTCATGAAATGATAGCATGAAATTTAAAACATGTGATGCTGTGTGAAATTTAAAACATGTGACATTGTGCTATCAGTCAGGAATGGCACGATAGGATTGAGAAGACGTGGTCTATGTTCAGTTTCCAATCCAAGGATATTAAGATTTGAAAAGACTGTGGTGGCAAGGGAGCCTAAATGGTCTGGTCTAGAAAGGGTGAAGGGAACTATCTGGTCCATCATCCACACTCCATGATATGAACCTTACTTAATCCTTTTAGTAGAAGCATCCCCCATGTGCTCCTTTGGTTTGTTTGTTTCCATCAACTTTTATTCCTTTTAACTTATGGTTCATTCACTTCCCCTGTCAATTATCTTTAACCAAAAGAATAAAAATGTTTAAACATGTTTCTAAATTTTGGATCCTACTTCGCTTTGCTTTCCGAACTTTCAATTTGGTTTTGAGCCCTTTAAACTTTCAGTTCATGTCAATATACCTCTCAATTTGTCAATTATGCAAAAATTTCCTTTCATTTCATCGTATGATCAATTTTAAGACATGTTCGTCAACAAAATGCTACATTTCAAGGCTTATATAGTAAATGCTTAGAATTATGAGAATTTGAGCTAGAGAGGGTTTGAAATTTATACATCAACAACAAATCTAAAGGCTTATTTTGTACAAAATGAACAAAAATAACTCTTAAGTCGACAGAAAATTTGACTAACCTAACCAAAGGTGTAGGGGAGAGCGCTAGTCAAATTGAAAGTTTAAAGAGTAAAGCGGGACGAGATTTATAATTGCATTAAGGAGGTATTGATTTTTCTCATGTCTTAAACAACAAGACAATCCTCTTCTCAAGAGTTTTTTTCAAAGTAGCGAAGATTCAAGTGGCACTTCACGTGTCATAATACAAGTGGAAGAAATGATACATTTTCTATATCCCTCCACTTATATTATAACACGTAAGATTCCCGTTTGAATATCGGATGGTTGGAATTTTTTTTCACTCTTCTCGATCCTTTTAGCAACTGTGGAGTGACGTACATCTTGATATACGAAAAAATGGAAACCAATTTGTAGAAAACGAGGCATGAATGAGAGGTTTTGGAGATTCCCGGATAGGGATTTGCATAATTGTCCCGAAAATCTTCACAGGGAAAAAACATGTCGATTTTTTCACATAATTCTCAAAGTTTTCCAAGGAAATTTGCAATATCTAGGCCTTGAACTACACGTTTGTAGTGAAAACGATCTTCTTGGAAAAGGGCAATGCACCCACACCACCATAGCCTTTTTCCAAGATGTGATACGATGAAAAACTTTAAGTTAATCTTGTTGATATGTTTTTGTGTCTAGTGGTCAGATTAAGTGAACTGTTCAACTCACTTATAAGTGATTAAGTAATCTTGTTGATATGCTTTTGCTTTTTGTTAGAGATTGTATCAAACCAAAGTAGGAAACTTTGGTAATTGAATGCAAAAAAAGAAAAAGAAGCATCCAACCCAAAGTTTAGTAGTTTAGTTATAGAATATTATCCACTTAAAAGCAATGAGAGAAGCATATATGGAGCTTTTGCGGTTTAAAGTGTGAATTTCACACTTTTGGGGTTGTCAAAATAATAGCTCCCTTTTAAGGTTTGAGGTGTTATTTTTTGCCCTATATCTTTTATTTTGACTAATTTTCAGATAAATTATTGTAAATGACTTTCCCATATTTCATCTAACCTTTTTGTTAAAATTGTCTCAGAAAATCTTACGGAGATGATTAATGGTACTTTGCAACCGGAGGTAATGGTTGAAGGTATCCTATTTGATATTAGACAATTATAACAACAATTGAGGTCAGTAGAATTCCGTTTTGCTCCCCGTGTATTAGGGCAGCGCGTCTAGTGGCATCTTTTGTGTTTAAGGAAGGTGGCCTTCATAGTTGGAATGAGTTTGAACCGAAGTGGTTGTTTAACATTCTAACATCTGATGTAAATGTTTCGATTCGAATTTAATCAAAGTTTCTATTGTTTTGAAAAGAAAAAAAAGAAAGGAAAAAAATAATAATGATAGAGATTTTTAATAATAAAAAAAAAACAATTGAAATGATCGGCATGTGATTTGTTTGACGGAATAAAAGTGATTTAAATTGGCCACTTAGTACTACGGTCTAGTAGTATTCATTTTCACTAGTAAGTGAAATGTCTTAGGTTTGATTTTCGCCAAAGGCAAATTTGAACCACATTATTGCTAGCCAATTGTGAGGCTAAACCCACCCCCTCTCCTTAGTGTAGATAATATCGTTGTTAAAAAAAAAGTGGTTCAAATTGAAGTTTAACGGGAAAATTGATAATGAGATACAAGTTCAAAGGAAATTGACATAATATCTTCTTGTTTAAGTGCGAATTTTGGTGTTGGAAGGGATAATTCTGTTCACACATCTATTTTTACCTCCTACACATTCTTGTTAATGTTTGGCCATTTAACTTTTTTAATTCACTCGATCCGATGATCAAAATTGAGAAGCTTGTGTTAAAAGTAAAAATAGGTGTGTAGATAGTACTACCCTTAGGGAAAATTGACATAATATGTGTAAAAAAATGCTGCAAACCATATGTTAAATCTCACAATGTCAAAATTCACGTTCAATTGTTGTAGAAATTTTTGCTTTTATTGAGCTTGTGCGTATAGCTTTGGTCATAGATTGGAAACATTTATGGATAGAAACAGACTCCATGTTGGTTATTCACTATCTTTTTAAGGCTTCTAATGCGACCTCGAGGTTTCATATGGTAGATTGGAAGAATTGTCTCTGGCAACTTCGTCAAATGTGATTTACGTGTACATATATTTATAGAGAAGTAAATCAAGTTGCAGATGCTTTAACTTCATTTGGGGCAAATAGTTATGCTTATTATTGGTGGTTTACAATTCTAAATTTTGTAGCCTCTACTCATACTCATGACATTTCATTTTGTCCTTATTCTTGTTTTCATTGGTTGCTTTTGTCTTTGCGGTCTGGTATGGTCCCCTGCTTGTATCTTTTTTGTTTACTTATATTTATTTTCAATAAATTTGGTGGAGGAGGGATGGGCGGGAGTTTTCTGGTTGTAATGGTCCTCACCTCTTTGGGCACAGGGTAGATGCCTCGTATGCGATTATTACTGAAAAATTAATCTTGCCTAATCTTTCTTCATTTGAAGAAAAAATCACACCCGAAACCTATACTTATTATCCACAATCCTAACACCAAGGACACAAATGTAAACTCAACTTGAAATTATCAAACCGATTTAAACCTTCAAACTCAATGAAAAAAAAAAATACAATCCAAAAGGCAATGTTATGTTCTTCGAAATCAATAAAACTTGGTGAATCTGCTTTTGATCCAATATATATTGAATGGTAGATTTTCAAATCCAACCCAATCTAACTCGAGCTTATTCGATTAGGTTCGATTTTTTTTTTTTAATATTGTGATCAAATCAATATAGCATAAATAAGATCGAAAAAAGTATTGATTCCAATTTAAAATTTGCGATCACACTTGAAAATCAAGAATTATATGAACGATAGGAATTAATTCATCCCATTACAACTTCTTTTCCCATTTCTCATGACTTTCTTCATTTCAAGTAAAATATATTATAAGAATCGTCCTCCAATTTTCATGTGTTAATATGTAACATGACACAGGACCGAGCACAATGGCGTTCTAAGATTCATATAGCCGATCCCACTCAGTGACATGGATTTTCCAAGTCTCCAACCGAGAAGTTTTCCTCACTCGGGAAATTAAGGGAACACTACCTCAACCTACATGCTCCACTCACAAAGCTTCCATACAAGCTTCAACAAAAGAAAATTCAAAGAACTTAGCGAAGAATGATCTGGTGTATTTAACACAAACGTTGAAATGAAGGAAAGCTTATTTATTGATATTCCCGATAAGCTACAAATATGTACATATACATAAGTCAAAATAAACAAACAAGAGGGAGCCTTCACAAAGGTTGCTTAGGAGAAGTCTTAGCAGTCGGTAGAGCCCCAGAAAGAGAAGGCACTGGAGGGGGATCATTCGGAGCCTCAGTACTGGACAGAACCTAGAAGGAGGAGGCATCAGAGGTTGATCATTTGGAGCTTCATTACGCGGTACAGCCCCAGAAGATGAAGGCAATAAATGCCTTTGGAACAAACCCACAAATCTCTGATGATCAAGTAAAACCTGACCATCAGACTCCTTCATCTGGTCAAGCTTCCTCTTCATGTTTGTAGCATAGTCATGAGCGAGCCGGTGCAACTGTTTATTCTCATGCTTGAGCCCTCTAATCTCCTGTTTGAGACTCATCACTTCAGCCGCCAATGATTCAACTTGGCGGGTTCGAGCAAATAGGCGTTGGGCCATATTAGACACAGAACCTGCACACTGAACACTGAGAGCCAACGAATCCTTAACAGCTAACTCATCAGACCGTTTGGAAAGTAGTCTGTTATCTTTGGGAGTGAGAAGGTTCCTGGCCACCACCGCAGCGGTCATATCATTCTTCATTACGGAATCCCCAACGGTAAGAGGACCAGTAGGGGAGACGAAGGATGGGCGCCATATGTTGTCTGGAGAAGCGGGGCTGCCTCTTCAACAAGGTTCAAGTCAAAACGACGGTCGGGGGGCCATACATTTTCAAAGGTGTTTGAAAAGAGAAGAGGTCGGATAAATCAAGATCTTAGAAGTGCAAGAAATGGAGCTTCTACTGGTGGATTTCAAGTGTTCTTTAGAACTTAATGCCAGCCCCTATAAAAATCTGCACTCGACGGAGCTTCAGAAATCGAAGAGGCGTTTGCTTTCTCAAAAGCTGGGCTGCTCAGAGACCACGAGGGTTGATCTCAGAAATCGAAGAGGCGTTTGCTTTTCTCAAAAGCTGGGCTGCTCGAAGACCACGAAGGCCAATCTCAGGAAATCGAAGAGGCGCTCGCTTTCTCAAAAGTTGGGCTGCTCAGAGACCACGAGGGCCGATCTCAGAAAATCGATCAGAGGCACTCAGAGACCTTTGCCATCTCAAATTCGAAGAGGCCACCTACTTTTCCAGCCTTGTCAGCACCTATCACACGCACACTCAGCTTTTGCGGAAATTATGGGCATTCTGTCAAAGACTTCTGGTGAAGTATAGAAAGCACATGAATCTTACTGCTCAATCACCCACTTCCCACACGCAACAATAGCTCATGGGTACCACAGATAACTTTGCCAAAGTTCTCTGCCAAAGTTGAGCACGTGAAGCTTGCAGCTCCTACTACATCGCTCTAACCAAGAAGGGTAAAAGAATAGCAAAGAAACAGTACTAACAAAGTTTAGACACATAAATTTTGAAGGTCTAGCTACCATATTATTACCCACAAGGGTAAAGGAACAGTACCACTTGCTGGATATAATTGGAAAGTCCCTGTGTGTCAACCTCTGTGCTTCGTAGCAAGGTAGACTAGCAAACATGCCCAACCTTTACTCACATTCGAGGAAAACTCCTAACAAGATTGCTTGCTCCAAAATCGAAGAAGAGGCATCGTCCTCCTCTGAATCTCGAGAGCCAGACTCCCAACATGACTACTTTCTCAAAAATCGAAGAGAGGGTAAAGGAACAGTACCATTGCTGGATAATTGGAAAGTCCCTGTGTGTCAACCTCTGTGCTTCGTGGCAAGGTAGACTAGCAAACATGCCCAACCTTTACTCACATTCGAGAAAACACTCCCCAACAAGATTGCTTGCTCCAAAATCGAAGAGGCACCGCCCTCCGAATCTCGAGAGCCAGACTCCCAACATGATTACTTTCTCAAAATTCGAAGAGACACCGCTCTCCGAATCTCGAGAGCTAGACCCCCAGCATGATTGCTTTCTCAAAAAATCGAAGAGGCATCATTCTCCGAATCTCGAGAGCCAGATCCTCGATAGGATTGCTTGTTCGAAAAACCGAAGAGGCACCACTTTCCCAACTTCAAGAGCCGGATCTCCTTGGATAAAGCTTGTCTGTAATCCTCACACGCAACATCAGCTTTCCAGATACCACAGACCACTTTTTCAAAGTGCTCTGACAGAGTTAAAACATGTGAAGCTGGCAGCTCCCACTACCGTGCTATGACCAAGCAGGGTAAAGGAATAGCATTACTACTTGCTGTTAGGGAGACTCCTATATATGTCGACCTCCATCCCCAACGGACAGACAGACCTGCAAAAAATGCTCAACCCTTCCTCATATCTGAGAGGGCACTCCCAACGAAGCCTTTCGAAATACTCAGCTTTCTTCCCCCCTGATAATACCTCTGCAAACAAGCTATACTAGAAGCAAGAATATCCCATATCATCAGGGTTAAAAGCAAGAGTATCCCATATCATGCTTTTTTCCCTGTCTTTTCCTTTGGCCTTGTTCTTACCTGCAAGACAAGGAGAAAGAGAGCAATCAGTCAGCACTTGGAATCAAGCTTCTAGCCAGGAACTGACTGCCTGGAACCCCTTACCTGATTACTTACCTGGTATTGCTCTCGAGTACTCATCTTCAACATCTTATGCTCCCAGGGAAGATACCGCATCTGCCTGAGGAACAAAATAGGGCAAGTGAGAATGATACAAGGAAGCATGTGGAGACAAACGTAACAGCACACGTGCCGATACATCCATTACTCTGTCAAAAGCAAAAGTATCCCATATCAGCAGGGTCGAACATACTCTAGATTTGATGGACTTGTTTTGACCCTCAAATTCTTCAGTCGGCCTTATACTCTGGAGGAAACCAGAAAACCCTCCAGCTCAGTTCAAGAATAAGCCTGTGGAAAGTTACTTCTTCAAAAGCAAAAGTATCCCATATCATCTCTTCTCATTTTTTCTTCTCTTTATCCTTCATGCTGCCTGCAAGATAAGGAGAATGTGAACAATCAGCCGGAGCTCTGATTGCTTACCTTGTCTGTCACATCTTTCAGCAGATCCCCTAGCTCGGCGACTTGGGGACTCCTACTACATGGTTTGTATCGCGCTTGACCAAGCCTGAAACTACAAGTAAGCTTCAAGTGAAATTGATACATTACCTTGTGCATCTCCACCAGTTAAAGATACCACCCCTGGATGGAGGAAGAGTACTTCCAGAGAAGATGTCACATCTACCTATGAGACAGATAAGGCAAGTCAAGACGATACCACACTCCGATACTTAGAAGTTTCGTGATTACGAGATCATTCTCCCACAATATTTCCTAATGTCATTTGTACTAGATCATTCACTTGTACTCACTAAAGGAGAGCTTGAACCTATGTACTTGTGTAAACCCTTCACAATTAATGAGAACTCCTCTATTCCGTGAACGTAGCCAATCTGGGTGAATCACGTACATCTTGTGTTTGCTTTCCTATCTCTATCCATTTATATACTTATCCACACTAATGACCGGAGCAATCTAGCGAAAGATCACAAAAAGCGACCGTTTTCGCTACCTAGGATCTATCTTGCAAGAGAGCGGAGAATTAGATGGAGATCTCAACCATAGAATACAAGCTGGATGGATGAAGTGTAAGAGTGCATCCGGAGTGTTGTGTGACCGTCGTATGCCACTGAAGCTCAAGGGAAAATTTTATAGGACGGTAATAAGGCCAACGATGTTGTATGGCACAGAATGTTAGGCGGTGAAGCATCAACACGTACACAAAATGGGTGTAGCGGGGATGAGGATGCTTCGTGGGATGTGTGGGCACACGAGAAAGGATAAGATTGGGAATGAGGATATCCGAGGTAAAGTAGGAGTAGCCGAAATTGAAGGAAAGATGAGAGAAAATCGGTTCCGGTGATTTGGACATGTGCAAAGAAGGCCTACTGACGCTCCGATTCGAAGATGTGACTACGGGACAGGGGTTCAGGGCCGAAGGGGTAGAGGAAGACCTAGGAAAACTTTGGAAGAGACTCTAAGAAAAGACTTAGAGTACTTGGATCTAACGGAGGACATGACACAAAACCGAGCGCAATGGCATTCTAGGATTCATATAGCCGACCCCACTTAGTGGGAAAAGGCTTTGTTGTTGTTGTTGTTGTTGTATCCAATTCTTACAATATTGGCCAAAATTGATTTGTGGGCCAACCTCGTGATCACCTCCATTGATCTAAAACTGGAAAAGACAGAGTTTAAATTTTAAAAACATATTTTGTAAATTATATAATATAGTAGTTGATGATTCGTTTTTTAATTTAAAAAAAAAAATTAAACGCCCACATATTTTATGAAAGGTGACTTAAAATTTGAGTGATGTCATATTTTGTAAATTATATAATATAGTAGTTGATAATTGAAATCGTTTATAATTTTAGGGTAAATAATAGTAAAGGTCCCTGAACTGTATTATAAGTTTAGTTTTCATCCCTCAACTCTTATATTAGTTTCTCTCATCCTCCAACTTAAGTTTGTGTTGCACGAATAGTCCTTTCCGTCAAGTTTGTTACATTTTCCGTTAAATATGATCACATGCCTTGCACATGAGCTTTTTGTGGTGGGCAAATATGACATTTTGCTAGCCCAAAGGAATCTTACTTGTGGTTGTAGAATTGGTACATATTTTGTGTAGTAAACTTTGTATTTTGGTAAGGTTGGTATTTTTATTTTGGTAATGTTGGTACTTTTGATGAAGTTATTATGTTATCGATACTTTTGGTGATCTTTAGCACAATTTGTTGTTTTAGTATTAACCTATTATTATTATTAAACTTAGATAACTCTTGAGTTATGCCGAAAAATTGCATAAGATAAACAATTAGTTTATACATCAATAAAAGACGAGTCCTTAAGGCAACACCCCCGCTAAGTTGTTAACTTATATGATAAACAATTGGATTAAATAGGAAAACTGCATATCACAATCAGACTTTTTTTCTTTTTTTTTTGGGCAAAGGTATACAATAAGCCTTTTTTTGGCGGGAAAATTAATCTAGAAAGGGATATCATTCACATATTGGGAATCTTATAATTCATAACTTAAAAAGACCATTATACCCTTAAATTTAACGGAAAAGATAACATATTTGACAGAATGACTAATTGTGCAACACGGACTTAAGTTGGAGGACGCAAGAAACTAATATAAGAGTTCAGGGACGAAAACTAAACATGGGACAAAGTTCAGGGACCTTTACTACCACGCACCCATAATTTTAAAAAGAAGTTAAACACCCACATATTTTACGAAGGTGACTTAAAATTTGAGTAATGCGAGTGATATTAAATTAAGAAACTAAATTTGAAAATTAAATGATGTGTTTCCAATAAATGATCACGTCTATCAATGTTTAAGTAATAAACCAATCTTCAACTTACACGTTATTTAATTTTTATAAATTTAATCTCTCTATAACTTTTAAAATTTTGGTCACGTAGCATCCCCTCTTAAAATATTCCAAACTATAAATGCCTTCCAACAACTACACGCACCACGCATTCTTCTCCCACACAGGAAAACAGAACTCAACACAGAACCTATTCTTTCTTTCTTTTCAAGTCACAAGTTTTTCTCACTTTTTCCCTTACCTTTCTCATCAACTTCCTCAAACCCCAATTCTAACATGAATGGCTTCAGAGAAGAGAACTCCTTTTGCTATTTCCACCCTAAAGAGTTGGTTGTGGGGGTCTGCTCGCTCTGCCTGACTGAGAGGCTTCTGATCTTGTCAGCCAAAAAAGGCCGCCACCACCACCGCCACCATGTCTCCTCCATCAGAGGTGGCAGAGGCGGCAGTGGCCATAAAAACCCAAATGGCATGCACAAGAAGGCACCCATTAGCCTCCCCAAGATCTTTGCTTTCAGCTCTTTCCTCAATCGGCAGTGGAAACCTGACGACGGCTCAGATCAAGAGGCTTCCACTAGCCAAGAAGGTAAGTACTTTTTCTTGTGGGTGAGTGGTAAATTTCTTATCTTTTTAACTTTTTGCAGCTTTTAGTGGTGAAAATTATGAGTTTGAACTTTGTGGTGATATAAACAATGCTGAAGGCCAAGCGTTGTGCTTTGATGTTGTATGTGTGTCTTTGTTTCTTTGTTTGTTGTTCTGTAATTAGTTGCTTTTTAGGTGATAATGACAAAATTATGGCCAAAGTATAAATAAAACGGAAGATTTGGAATGCAAGACTTCATCTTTCCCCCCTTAATAGTATGAAAAAAAGAAAAGAAAAATAAGTTGAGAAATAGCAAAGCCAGACAATGAGCTAGTAATAATGTGGTTCAAACTTGTATTTGGCGAGGATCGAACCTAAGACCTCTCACTTACAAGTGAAAAAGAATACCACAAGACCTTTGTACTAAGTGGCGGGTTTTAGGGGTTTATTCATGAAGAATCATCCTTTTCTTTTTATTGGGGTTCATGTGGTTGTCTAATCAATTATGATTTCATTAGGAATTGTTTCCAATTATGTGAAGAAACTATCATTAAAAGACTACAAGCAGATTAGTTTGACAATTACCTAAAAAGCTTCATCCTTTTGAACCAAGATGCATCCTTTTTTCAGGTTTTAGAAGTAGATGGATGTTACCTTTATGAGGTTTTGTGCATTTACATTTGGTTCACTTCAAAAGTAAGTGAGGGGCACTACCCCTCCAAATCTGTGTTGGTATTAGAAAAAACCCCTCTTTAGGGATATCTTAAATAGTCAACATACTTCCATTATTATAAGCAAACTTAATTAAGTTGATATATAAAATATTAAAGTGCAAAAGCCAAACTTAATTATGTTTTAGTTCAAACTAACCATTGTTTTCCTTTGTTAATCAATCCTTTCTCTTTGCTTGCACTCAACCCTCTCCCCATCCTTCCCAGTTCTTACATTTGACTAACAGATTGTGTTTGCAAATATTCTCATAAGCTAAACAGAGAATATCATCACCATTAGCCTGTTTTGAATGAACCTATTTATAATTACTCCAAACTTCAAATTTACGTTGATTGCGTTCTTTTGATTGAGTTACATTTGCTTTTATTTGGTCATCGACCCTTGGAGCTTTCTCTGCCCGGTTTAACGTACTAACTCACTATTTAACAGAAAATGATGTGAGTACGTGTGGTTTGCATATGATTGCATGCATTTGAGGTGTGTCCTAAGACCTCGGTTTGAATGAGATAGTAGGCCATTGGGGGTTTTCTCACTACCGAAAAAGATTGTAAAGAATGTGCATGTCTGAATTATCTTGGCAACCATGATCACATATTCGCACTGCCAATTGCTTTTGCAGACTCATTCATATCAATCAAGTTTGAAGACAATGGAGTAGCCTCATGGGAGAAGAACAAAGTCTCTAAGGTCTCTCTAGATCATTGCAACATGTCCTGGAATCACAACTTCAGCAAGGAAGCCAAGGAAACCAAGGAGGCAAGGGATACCAAGAGCGTGATAGAGTACGGGAAATCCCACATCCCGCTTAGGTGGCGGAAGAGGATTGGTCACTTGACCCAGCTCATCAGATGGAAGAGGTCCAACAAGGGCAGTGTGTGCCATGTCAGCAACAAGGTGGAGGGTGTCAAGGTAAGGAAGGGTTGGATAAGAAGCTTGACAAAGAGGAGATGGGCCATGGAATAAAGGGGGTTTGTACAGTAAGTGACACAAGTCTTTCCTCCACCATGCTCATCTGTGGGTAGAAGCTCCAATCCATATAGTCATATATTATTGAGGGAGGGTGGTATTAGAGTCAAAAACGCTAAAAAGTGCTTTTGTTATCTGGCTTTCAACTCTTTGGGGCTTCTTTTTTCTTTTGGTTTCTTTCATTTCGTTAAAGGCGTACAGGCTGTAAAAGGAGGGATCTTGAAAGATATGTGCTTTGGTTTCACATTGCTATAAAAAGATGAAATTTAAATTTGTAAAAGTTCAACTCCCATTACCAAACATTTTGTAAAGCAAGACCCATGTTAGGTTCACAAAGTGGGAAACAATGGAGAAGAGGGCCCACTCTTGTGGATCTATTGTCTAATAGTTGTCTTGATGGCTAATATCATCCTGTTCCCTCCAATAAAGAACTGAAGATACATGCGATATTAATCGAGGGACCAGGACCTCGGATGCAAGAATATACGACTTCGGGTGCGAGTACATTTCCTCAATCACTTGAGTCTTGAGCTACAAGTCCATTGTGAAACTCAAGTTGGAATTCTGAGTCCACATGGTAGGGTTCTTTACAAATAAGTGCAAAACTCCATTTCATAATAAAGAAAAAAAAAATAGAAATATATTTCGAAGAGAAGAACTTCTTGGTTCAACTTTTGTTGATCTGACTACTATTGCACCCCAGGTGAGGGGTTTCTGTTTTTGTATTTTGAGTATTCAAAGATTTATTACTAATATTTTCAGTCATGGAACTAACCTAATTAAACTTTGCTTTAATTAACGTGTTCTTCACGATAAATTAAAAATATTGTTATTGTGAGGGTTAGGGCTAGTTTGGGATTGTTGTGTTTTAAAATTTTTTTTTTGTTGTGCTTTAACAATAACCGGCTGTAAAATACAATAGTTGAACATTTGATACACTGTATTTTTTAAAGTATTTTGAATATGAAAAACATTATAAAAGCATTTGATATTTTTTAATGTAAAAGTGAATTGTATATGATGACAAAAATGAACATGGTAGTGGGGGTGGTGGTGATGATAGTGGTGGCAAGGGCAGTGGTGGTGGTGGCGGCAGCGGCAGCGACATCAGTAGTGGTGGTGATGGCAGCAGCAAAGGTAGAGCTATGGTGATGTGGCCAATAATGTGGTGTGGTGGTTAGGGTGTAGAGGTACTAATGGTGGTAGGGGCGACGACAACGACGATAGTGGAGATTGTGGTTGTAATGACAATGATGGTAGTGGTGGTTATGGGGGTGACGGTAGCGGTGATGACAACGATAGTGGCGGTGACGGTGGAAACAATAGTGGTGACAATGGCGATGATGGCGGTGGTGGTGGTGGTTATAGTTGTGGTGGTGTAAGGTTAGTGTTTGTACTAGTAGGTGGTGGTAGTCTTTTTGTTTTTCATGGGATAAATGAGTCTAACAATGTCATTTCTAAAAACTAATGAGAGTATTACAGGAACTGAAAATATTCATCAAAGACTCATCTCTGTTTTTTATTAAAGCAACTTTTAAAAGCAACTTACATGCTGCTTTTAAAAGCTGCTATTCGTAAGCCACTACTTTTAAAATATACTTTAAAGTGAATCAGTTTTTGGTAGAAAAAAAACATAATACCAAACTGGCCCTTAGTTATTCTTTCGTGTGCAAGCCATCATCCATGTGAAGTACCTGGCAAGAAGGATTAGGCCAAATTTCTTCACTTGTCTTTTCCGTTGGTTCAATTCGTCCCAAGTTTATGGCTTTGCTCAAAGCCATGGACCATTGATCTTTGTTTAGAGTTAGGACCACATTGTAGGTTTTGAAAAGTTGCTCTAGTAGTGGATGAAAACGAGTAGACGTGGATCTTCACCCAACTTCTTTAATAATCAGAGGTATCATTTAAGTTATTGAAATAAACACGACACGAATATAATATAATTTGAATCGAATTGATAAAAATATGGCAAAAAATAATATAATTTATATTTAAATTGTCTAATATACAATCTAGAAAGAGGCTTACTAGACATGATATGGTATATATGTCTTATAGATACGATATGAGGCGTACAATTTAATTATCGCTTCGATTACAAGCGTCCATCAAAGCCTACATTCCTACAATTTAGATTTTCATGTTTCATGATAACCCTCTTAGGATTTTCCTCAAACCCTAGCCAGCACTCAACAAGAAATACATGGTTAGGTTGTCCTATCAAGTCATTCATAGGGCATCTCTCACAAAAGCACAAGACTTCCTGTATTTTGCTCCCACTTGACCTTAACTAGCCCCACTGAATGCGAAAGTTGCCCTAATCAAATATGTTTTCGAAGTTTCTCTGCATACCATCAACCTAGTCTTTTGAGAATAGTACTAACCAAGGAACTCTTTCGTTGAACCATAATATGTGATCCTAAGTTTGAATCCTTACAATTGCACTATTGCTGAGTAAGTTGAATTTGAATAGTGGTAAGCTAAATCGATTTCATCCCTAAATTCGAAACTCTCTCTCATTTTGTATTGCAGGGATAATTTTTTCATTAGCACATCTGATTGTTCTTAGGGAGATCACTAGTCTTGTTCATCTTTTTTTCTCTGATTTCTTAGCCTCGGAAAAGATTCTGCTTATTTAAACTAATTGTTTGTATTCTGAACTCCCAAATCATATTTATCATTGCCAAGTTTCTGTTTATGAGAAATAAGAGCTGATGAATATATATAGAGGAAAAGCTATTAATTAAAAGTGCATTGATGAGTCCATATTATACCATATACTTTACTCTAATCTTAGTTATAATTTATTAGTTATTTTGGTAGAATTTTGATACTTTGTTATGTATTTTTAATGTAAAACATTTGACTTCCTCTGGAGTAAAAAGTGATCAAACGGATGAATTTTGGAGTGATTCCAATTGGAGGATGTTTGTAAGTCTTTCAAGATGATTGTGTCAAAAATTCTAGATTTTTCTACCAAGCTGTTTGACTGTGGCAATGAAATAAAGATCCAGCGCGCAGCTTAATAGATTGACGTTTTTGGACGTTTCAGGTATTTTGAAGGTCAAGATGGCATAATTTGAGGAAGATTCCTTCTGAGGATTTGTAGGGGACGTCTTCAGCTTTCAAAAGAGACATGTTGGGACAAAATTGGAGTTGATTTGGTCAGTAAAAAATCTGATTTTTTGAGAAGTCCGAATTTCAGTTTAAATAGGAAACCTTATATTTCCTAGTTATCTTATTCTATTATGTTTCCTATTTTTTAGAAGAACTTTTCTAGGTTGGATTTTATTTTGTAGTGGTATAAATAAGGCTTTTTAGCCATTAGGGTTTTTGGGGAGGAAAAAAAGAGGAGTAAAAAAAGAGGAGGAAAAAGGGGAGAATGCACGCACTACTTAGAGAGCTTTTGAAGATTCAAGTTTATTTTTAACATGTTTTCTATCCATATTCTTAATAATATTTTATTTTATGGTTGTTGGTAACTAGTTCATTTGCTAGGGCGAGGCCATGAGCCTTACTAAGAATATGTAGTTTCTTTTTAATTTGCTTATGAATTTATGCATGCAAGTTTTGAATTATTAATCACCGGTTTAAACTATCTAATTGTCTTGATGATTGGCTACCATTAGGATATTTAGAAAAGTAATTTGATGCAATTTTGGCAGAGGTCTATCCCTAGAATTGACTAAGGTTTCTTGTGGTTAATATGTGTAACTTCTTAGGATGGACAACACGTCTTAAGGGTTATACAGTTTTTAAAAAAGATTTCAAAAAACTTAATGAGTCTTGCATGTTCACATTCGATCTGAACACCATGCATGAGTTGCAGTTAGATATACGTTCTATGTTGGATGTTCCAAGTAGGGCATACTTTAGGAAAACCTAACCTTCAAATATGCATGTGTAAGTCATAAGTAATTGGAAGAACTACGTAGGATTGTTAAAGTGACGGTGGAACCCTAGTGCTCAAATTTATTTTCAAAACTATTTTCTTTTGTTTTCTTTACTATGCCAATTTATTTAAAGGAAAACTAATGAAAAGGGCTTGAAAACTTTGAAAGTTAACCAAAAACTATGTAATAACTTTATTTAATGGTTAGGACAAAGCCCAACACTAAACCAGTCCAATTAAAATGGCCCAAACATTGAGTTTCCAAATTTACCCCAAACAACAAGCCTTTTTGTCCGTTTAATATCTGTTTAGTTGTGCATCTCTATGCTATTATCTGTCTCCTCCATGCCTTCTTGAAACCTTCCATTTACACACAAGAAAATTGAAATCCCGTAGGCCCTCCCCCTCCTTGCACCGGCAAAAGAGGTTTTTCAAATCAAGAACAATTGTCTCATGCAAATTTTCGTCATCTTTTTGGAGCTCAGAACCTCTTCCCAAATTTTCACTGAACAATATTCTCGCTTTCCATCTTCTTACAACTCAGATCCTCTCCCCACCTTGAATTCCAATCGATAGAATAAACTTGAGCCTTGCCGCTTATATTTTTGTAGTGAGCTTTTGTCGCTCTTTACCTCTGCAAGGATCCTTGTATCAGCATATCTGGTCGAATCTGGTAGGTGAAGATCTACTCTTCATAATCCCCTTTTCTATTTTGTTACTTGTGTGTTTTGGATGAGGTGGATCTTCATCTAATCTTGAAAATGGGGAAGATAGGTCGTTGTTTTCACTGGTAGTGAATGAGTTTAGGTGCTTTGGGCCTAATGGAGATGGAATACTGTTTGCGTTGGGATGTGTGAGTAGCCTTTTCTCTTGTTTGTGTTGTCTCTCAAATTTGGGGTGGACTAGTTGCTAGTTGGATTCCCTTTGTGATACTAGTATAATTGTTCTTAATTTTATATCTGAACCATCATTTTTTGAAATGATATTATTTTGCTACTTCTGTAATTTCCCATGAAGTACAATGAAATTCTCTTTTCTTATGAACAAAAGAACAATAGTCTTGTAAAAGTAAAGCCAAAAGATGTGCACCAACTTGACATATTAAGATACAAAATAGACCATCTATCTTCATCTCATTGTTACATGAATAATTCAAGCGATTTCAAGTTAAGATATATAGACTTCAAATTTGGATTTTTTTTTTGTTAGCCTTATTATATGGTATTGAGCAAGTATTTGGTAAATGAGAGATTGGTAATGCTGCTAAATGATATATACCGCATGGTTGTTTTCGACTATTTTCTACACATGAAAATTTTATGAGTTTAATGGAATTTTCAAAGCTTAAACTATCTTAAATATTGGATTAAATATAGGAAACTTTAACGAAAAGTACATGGTACTGTTCACTTTAACGAAAAACCACATTTTTACACAAAAAAGTCAATCCTGGTACTATTCACTTTACCCTTTATTTTGTCCTTATCATTAAAACTCAAAGTTTTCAAGCTCTTTTCATTAGTTTTCCATTAAATATATGAAATTTTTTAAAGAACGAGCATGCCTACGAAAATTCGCGAGTAGAAAGCCAAATAATTTTTATGGTTTCATTTTAAGAAATAATGATTGTACCAATGTTCAGTTTTAAAAATAGTGATAGTACCCGTGTTTAGTTCTAGAAATTGTTAGTGTTTAGTTTATGAAATAGTGATAGTACTAGTATTCAGTTTAAGAAATAGTCAATGCTCACTTTAAGAAATAGTGATATTGTCGTGTTTAGTTATGGAAATAGTTAGTGGTCAGTTTATGAAATAGTGATAGTACCAGTGTTCAGTTTAAGAAATAGCCAATGTTCAATTCTAGAAGTAGTCTGTATTCAGTTTAAGAAATAGTGATAGTACCAGTGTTCAGTTTACGAAATAGTGATAGTACCAGTGTTCAGTTTAAGAAATAGTTATTGCTCACTTTAAGAAATAGTGATAGTATTGTGTTTAGTTCTAGAAATAGTTTGTGGTCAATTTACAAAATAGTGATAGTACCAGTGTTCAGTTTAAGAAATAGTCAATGTTCAATTTTAGAAATAGTCTTTATTCAGTTTAAGAAATAGTGATAGTATCAGTGTTCAGTTTACGAAATAGTAATAGTACCAATGTTCAGTTTAAGAAATAATCGGTGCTCACTTTAAGAAATAGTGATAGTATCGTGTTTAGTTCTAGAAATAGTTTGTGGTTAGTTTACAAAATAGTGATAGAACCAGTGTTCAGTTTAAGAAATAGTCAATGTTCAATTCTAGAAATAGTCTATGTTCAGTTTAAGAAATAGTGATAGTACAATTGTTCAGTTTACAAAATAATGATAGTATCAGTGTTCAGTTTTAGAAATAGTCGGTGTTCACTTTAAGAAATAGTGATAGTCAATGTTCATTTTCATTAAAAGAAGATCAATTTCTCTTATTGATATGTATCAACAAGTTCATAGGGATTTTGAGTGGCTGATTTTCCGCGTCATACTAAAACTCAACGTGTCTTACATCACCTTCAATGTTTATAAGGCCTAGTATAGAATAGTTATGTTCTTCTTTTTGTTAAATAATAATATAGGATGATTTTTTGGTTAAATTAAACTTAGTCCAAGCCCATTTCATTAAAGCTCCTGTTTTTTTTTAATTGTTTTTTAGTTAAATTCGTTTTTAATATTTTTGGTCATAAAATCAACTTCTTCCAAACTTTGTTTTCAAATAATTAATTAAGATTTGGTATTTACATAAATTATTCATTCAATCCTTGTGGAGAACAACCTTACTTGAGTTGTTATACTACGATAACCCTGTACTCTTGCAAATATTTTTAAGTGTTTTTATTTATACTTTTGCAGGCGGTAAAAATCCCTATCATGCATCAATTTTACTATTTGCATTCCCTTAATTTTTACTCGTTTTATCTATTATTACGGTAAGTAAATTACAAACAATTAAATGAATACATATAATCTCAGCTTCACTTTGTAAATTTTATACATCTGGATTTCTCATGTACTTGAGCCACATACCAGCCATCACTCTTGATGAAATGCTCCACAACAAATCCTGACCTTTGGATGCTACATGATGTTTGCCCTTCTTCCCTGCGGCTGCTTTCACCAATCCATAAGAAATCAACCACTGCATTGCAGTTAGCCTCTGCCTCTCACTATCCCATGCATTCCTCTTCCCTCATTTTGTCCTCACTTTCAACCCTCCCACATGCATGGTTGTCACTTTGAATCTCTTTTCCTCCTCATTGACGGCGCCATCAGCTTTCGTTGCATAAATAAGCGCTATCATAGGGCCTCAAACCGCCTCATACCGCCTTAAGGGATCCCTCAGCTAAACAAGCACTGCCAGTGTGATTGTCTCCGGCTGGTTCCCATCTTGTAAGCTATCTTAATTGGCCACGCTGTGGTCTTTGATCCAGTCGTTGGGTGATATTGAAGAAGCCAGCGGTTCGTTTTGAAGTACTTTTACACCACTTGAATTTGTGAAACTATTGTTTATTGGTGAAACATCGAATGAGGCTTCTTCCTCAGCCATTTCAGCTTGGATTTTCAAAGATTCAAATGCCATGGCCTCGATTTTCTGCATAGTGAATGTGAGAATCTCCTCTACTTTCAATGAGTTCTCGTTCACATTCCAAATCCCAGTCGAAATCCTTTCCTTCCTGCCTGTGCTTAATGCATTTGCCATTGTTTTAACGGCGACAATTGTTTTAACAGCGCTCGAGCTAGCGCCTTCTTTGTTCCTTCCTTGAACAATCGTGGATGCAACACCTTTAAAAGCAATCTGCTCTGCGATTTTATCCATCAGTTCATCCAATGCCATCAAATTCATAATCTGAGAATTTAGCTCATCAAGTCCAATAGCTGCAATCCTTTGAAACAATTCGAATCCACTCATTGACTGATCCCATTGATGTGAAAAATAAGTTAACACACAAAATTAAACCCTCTTTTTATCAATTGTAGCAAAGTATGTAAGTAGGGATCGTTCTAAACCGGGGATTAGGAGAGATTGCTAAACACTTGAAAACTGACTTAGAAATGTAAAAACAAAGTTTAAAACACTAGATTAGACTCAAAGAATGCAAAACTCATGTTTAAAATACTAAAATAAACCAATAACTCAAAACAGCAACTAAAAGACTCAAAACTGCCTTAAAAACACTTTCTGGGCAGTTTTGAACACAAAGCACCAATTTGGACGAATTTGGGTTTTAACTTGTACCAAAACACTTAAAAACATAAACCAACACACTTTCTAACTAATCTAGGACTTCAAAATAAATGGGGAATTGATTTGGACGAAAATGAACTAAATGGACAGATTGCAAGGAAAACAGATTGTAATAGAAACAGATTGTAACACAAAGTTATGAATAATCAATGGATGATGGAATGGCTAAGGGGTTCTTCTCCACACATGAAATATATGCAACCTAAATCAATTTTTAGTTATCAATTTAATAAGTTATGAATCTCGACACTCCAAGTTAATTAGGTCCGCTTAAATTAACCTTCAGATTTCCCTAGAATAATTAAATTGGATGAATATGCATCGCAAACAAATTATTCCCAACAAGTTCTTTATACGAACAACATGATAAAGACACAAGTTAGAATCATTACGTTCTTTGGAAATCATAAGCATCGACAAGGCATTCGTAACTATGAAAAGCATGATACTCTTGCCAGGAATCTACTTAACACGATTGTGACTAGCGACCTTCACTACTTACGAATATAAATTCATAACGATTAGGTGAAACAAACTTATATCCTAGCATCAAATTCAAGCATGCAAATTAAGCGTGCACTCTCAACCAACATACAAGAATAAGTTCTAAATCAAACGGTTAAGCAAATTGTATTCACGACTTATACAACGATAACTGAAAGTAATCAACTTATTTCACATATATAATCATGGTTTTGAATCCACCCTTAGCCAAAACGAAATTAGCCAATCATACTTAAAGCAAAACAAAGATTACATGAATTAGACATTAAAATCCAAAGAAAGAAAACACCTAGAATGCTCCAACTTGGCAGCAAGTGCATCCAAGATTCCTCCTTTCCCTTGCTTGTGGCAGATTGGTTTGTGGACAGGTTTGGGTAGTTCTATGGTGCAGAAAGGTTTATGGTGAGTGTAGAGGAGTGTTTGATGGTGGAAGGGTGGTGGAGAACTTCGGCAAAGAGGGTGGAAGAAGGTGGAGTGGCTGTGATATTTTCTGGGCACTAAAATGGTGTTTTTGGGGTGTTTTGCTGCCTAGGTTGAGTATGGACGAATTTCTGTGATGAATGGTGAATATGAGAGTGTGAACCCTTTGCCAAGGGGTGTAAACATGTATATATAGGCCCCAAAAACCCTAGAGAATCAGATTGGGCAGTGGGGAAAATGCACAGCAAGGAGGGTGAATTTGTGGTGTGCAATGGTCCAAGGATGAAAATGGAGCAATGATGCAAAGTATGGAGGGTAAAATGGAGTGGTATTTTAGCTAGGAGCATGAATGATTGTGTTCATTGCATGGAAATGAAAAGGGGAGGTGAAATGTTTCAGAAATTAGTCAAAGGTGCAGCAACATGTGTTGCACACAGCATTGGATCCCAAATGTGGATGATGGAGCATCAATTGGTGCATGGAATGGTTGTGAAAGTTGTGTGAAATCTGATGGGTGAAGGGAACAAGAGGTATGCAGCAATTGAGTGTGATAATTGAGTGAATTGAGGCATGAAATCAGAAATATTTTAGGGGACAAGGATGATTAAGCATGCATGGGAATCCAAAGGGAATGCTATGTGGTTACACGGCAAGGAGTGGGTGTTCTTTTGTGGCTGAATTCTTGATCCTTTGTACATTAATTCTTCATATTCTTAGCCTCTTTAATTCTTCAATTTCGTCCAAACCTTGGTTCCAAATAGGTGACATGCATTCCAAGGAGCATTTTGCTCCAAAATGCTCCAAAATGCATCTTCTTGCCTACTTTGTCCTTAAAATCTGAAAACACACGAAAATGACTTTAAACACTAAAATAACTAAAGAGACACGACATAAATGCACAAGAACAAGCCAACTAAGTCGCATAAATATGCTCCTATCAAATTCCCCCACACTTAGCTTTTGCTAGTCCTCGAGCAAAACAAAATAACTAAACAAAACCAAACCAACAAAATGAACAAAATCCAACCTAAGCCTTCCAACGTTTGCCTCAGGGATTTCCAATGCACATGTCATGTTAAAAATTGTCATCCCCACAGATTTTAGTTGTCTTCACACTTAAGCACATACTTAATCATAGTCACCACTTACTTGTTCGCAATTAATCGATTAAAACAATGTTTTTGATGTAGTAACATGCCTTAGAGAATTTACTCAAGTTCTTACAAAGTATGCACTCAATTTTCACTCAGATTTTCTAACTACACACACTATACTAGTCATATGTGAGAAGATTGATGTAAACATGAAAACGAACGCTCACATATATGTATTACAAAGAAAGCGATTTCTGGAGCATGTTTAGATATGATCTCATGAATGGAATGCTACTACTTAGATGCGAGAACCAGTGACACCATATGCTCATATCAATTTCAAACTCCACATATTGAACCGCATGACACTCAAGATGAAGTTAAGGGTTGTAACGGGGCTTGGGGTGATGGCTAACAAATGAAGGATAAGGATAACAATCGTTCTTAAAGCAATAGCAAGCAAAGTAATGAAATTGAAACTTAGAATTCACTTAGAGTGCATAAATAAGCTTTTAGACACGAAGGGAAAATTCAAGCAATATTTAGGGCCGAATTCTATGTTTTAGACCCTTTCTTCAACAAGCAGCACTTTAAAACTCTTTTTTTCACATATTTTTCAACTCCCTTTTTTTTTTTTTTTTTTTTTTCTTTTCTCAATTCTTCTTTTCTTTTCAACAAGCATAATAACTCACACTTCCCCCACACTTGATTTCTGCCATACATTAATCAAAAGAAATTCAATTTGAATCATGCTTTACTATGCTTCAAGAACAAGGGTATGGATGGTCCTAAACTAGGCTAGGTAAGGATAATGTGGTTTAACAAAGAATGTAGGCTATTAAGGCTCAATGGGGTTAACTTAAACATATAACGATATGGGATACATGGCAGTTTGGCTTTGGTGGTGGTAACTACACAACTTCATCTTGAATATGTGTTATGCAAATCAATAGCATGCTTTGAATGAAATAGGCATGAGTTCTAGCATTTGGAACTAAATGATGAAACGCCTTCTAAGTAATAACCAAGCAAAGAATAATGAGATCATGCAACGACTTTAGAAAACAATAATGCACAGATTTTAACTCTCCAAATAAACATTTAGGCTCAAGTCTCACAAGGTTGTAGCGTTAGTTTGAGTTCCTTCCTTCAAGCATGTTACAAAAACTAATTTTTTCTTTTCTTTTATGATTACATGTGATTTCATAAGTTATAACCACAACCAAGCATAAATAAAGAGTAAATCAAACTTTCATCCATGTTTATAACTCTCTTTAAAAGTCATGCAATTACAAACCGAATCCTTATCATTGTGTTTGAAGGTACCCTAAGACACAAATAAGCACACAAAAACAACTCTTTTTGGGATTTTCAAAACAATTTTTCAAATTTTTATGAATTTTCGGATTTTTATGTCAAAACACACTGAAACACTCCAAAATAGCTTAAAAATACTTAAAACAGCAAGGAACAACACTAGAAGTAATGGGTGATAATTTTCTACAAATTTTATGCAAAACACTAGTTACCCCCTACACTTAAATCAAACATTGTCCTCAATGTTTCAAGCATATACTCACAAAAACAAGCAACGAATAACAGAACAAATATAGCAAAGTAAACAAAAAAAATTAGACAGAGTAGAGGTTAAGAACGCAAATCTGGTTTTTGAGATAGATGATCTTGGTGACTTTCCACAGCTTTGATCTTGAACTGGTTTGGAATTCTGAGCGGGGAATATCAGAGTGCAGTCTGCATTCTTCTCTGCTTGTTTTTTCTGCACGGCGAGTAGGCACGAGGTAAAGGTGTTGGTCTGTTTCTTTCTTCAATCTTTCCAAGTGCCCACCTCTTGCTCTCTTTCTCCTTGTCCTTAGTTGAGGATGAATCAGCACGTTGTCTCCACATGCTTCGAGGTATCATCTTCACTTCCCTTATAAGTGAGAGACAAAGCGAAAGCATAAGATGATGAGTACTCGAGAGCAAAAGCTGGCTGGAGAAAGGACAGGGAGAAAGCATGATATAAGATACTCTTGCTCTTAACCCTTATGATATGAAATACTTGTGCTCTGGATGGGTTGTTTGCAGGGGTATCCCAGGGGATGAAAAATACAGAGTGACTCGAGAGGGTTTGTTGGAAAGCCATTTCAGAGAGGATGAAGGGTTAAGTGAGGCTGAAAATTGGGTGAGACTGCTTCAAATTGAAGTTCAACATTTATAGAATTTTCTTAATGGCTGGGAAGGCATTGTTCCATTACTCGTGTCGGCAAGCCTGGGATAATTTAACAGTAGTTTTCACGTGCATTCCGCTTCTCCAAAAATTTTCGACAGATTGCGCGTGATTTATGATGCGTAAAATAACTAAGCACACAAATTAAACCCTCTTTTTATCAATTGTAGTAAAGTATGTAAGTAGGGATCGTTCTAGGCCGGGGATTAGGAGGGATTGCTAAATCACTTGGAAACTGACTTGAAAACGTGAAAACAAAGTTTAAAACACTAACTAGACTCAAAGAATGCAAAACTATACTTTAAAACACTAAAACAAACCAAAAGACTCAAAACAGCCCCGAAACACTCAAAACTACCTTAAAAACACAATCTGGGCAATTTTGGGACTCTCACACAAACTTGGACAAATTTTGGTTTTCTAATGAACTAAAACACTTAAAAACATAATCTAAGACAAGTTCTAATTAATATGACTCAAAGAAATAAGATGGGGTTGATTTTTGACGAAAATAATTAAATTAAGACAAGAACAAAGTAAACAAATTCTTAGACAAATTTGGGTGAATCAAAACACTCTAACACACAACCAAAACAGAAATTAAACACTTTGAAACAATAAAGTAAAAGGGGGATTTTGGTTTTAATGAATTTGAAAACAAACAAACTTTGTAAAACAAAACAAACTTTGTAAAACAAAACAGATTGTAAGTGAATTTGAATGAAACTTATGGATGGAAGATTAGCTAGGAGGTTCTTCTCCACATATGTCACACTTGCATACAAAACGATTTCCAGTTGCTTTTCGATAAGCTATGAATACTCAACGCCCCAAATTAACCGTGAATTGCACTAATTAACCCTCAGTTTTTTCCACAAGTTATTAGGTTGGATGATTGCATACGACAACCCAAAACATTCCCTACAAGTTCCCTACATGAATTGCATAATAGAGATACAAGCAAGAATCATTAAGTTCTATGAAAAACATAAGCATTGACGAGGCACTCGTTACTATGATTTGCATGAAACTTATGCCAAGAGTTTACTTAACGTGATTGTGACTAGCAACCTTCACTACTTGTGAATATAAGTTTATAACGATTAGGTGAAACTCCCTTATATTCTAGCGTCAAATTCATGCATGAAAATTAAGCGTGCACTCTTAACCAACATACACAAATTAGTTTTTATATGAACGGATAAGTAAATTGAATTCACAACTTATGAATCACAACTGGATGTAATCAAATCATATTGCAAGTATGAACATAGTTTCGAATCACCCCCTAACTAAGAGGGGTTTAGTTCCTCATACTCACAAAGCAAAGATACATAAAATTAGACATTAAAATCAAAGGAAAGAAAACACCTAAAATGCTCCAACTTGGTAGCAAGTGCATCCAAGATTCCTCCTTTCCCTTGCTTGCGGCAGATTGGGTTATGGACAGATTTTGGGTAGTTTTATGATGTAGAATGGATGGGGAATGGTATGGAAGGGTTTAGGGTGAGTGTGGAGGAGTGTTTGATGGTTGGAGGGTGGTGGAGAACTAGGCAAAGAGGGTGGAAGAAGGTGGAGTGGCTGTTATGTTTTCTAGGCACTAGAATGGTGTTTTTGGGGTGTTTTGCTTCCTAGGGGTGTGTATGGACGAATTTTTGTGATAAAATGATGAATATGGGGGATTGTCATTTGGCCAAGGGGTGTAAACATGTATTTATAGGCCCCAAAAACCTTAGAAAATCAGGTTAGGTTAAGGATGAAATGCATGGCAATTTGTGTGTGTGGTGTGCAATGGTCCAAGGGTGAAAATGAAGTAATGATGCAAAGTGTGAAGGGTAAAATGGAGTGGTGTTTGTAGCTAGGGAGCATGAATGATTGTGTACATTGCATAGAGATGGAAAGGGAGGTGAAATGTGTCAACAAATGGGTCAAAGGTGCAACAACATGTGTTGCACATGGCATTGGATTCCAAATGTGAATGATGGAGCATCAATTGGTGCATGTAATGGATGTAAATGTTGTCTAAAATCTAATGAGTGAAGGGAATAAGAGGTATATCAAGCAATTGAGTGTAATAATTAAATGAATTGAAGCATGAAATTAGAAATTATGTAGGGGACAAGAGTGATCAAGCATGGCATGGAATCCAAAGGGAATTCTATGTGGTTTGCATGGCAAGGAATGCAAGTTGGGGTGACAGATTTTTGGGCTGTTTTCTTCATCTTTTGGACCATAATTCTTCATATTCTTGGCCTCTTTAGTTCTCAAATTCGTCCATCCACTTTGGCCCATGCATTTGCTATCCATTCCAAGCCCGAAACATGCTCCAAAGGCCTCCAAAATGCATCTTCTTGCATACTTTGTACTTAGAGTCTGAAAACACACAAAAATAACTTTAAACACTAAAATAACTAAGGAAATACAACGTAAATGCACAAGAACAAGCTAACTAAGTCGCATAAATATGCTCCTATCAATTTACGCAACGCAGATGTGCAAATTGACAGATGCTGACACGTCTCGATAAAGCAGAGGCCTCTTTAATATCCAGAATTTACGCTTCGAGTTCTGAGCTTCGTTGAGGGCAGAGATTGCATGTGACAAGTGCTGACGAGGCTGAGAGAGACAGATGGTTGGAATCGGTGCTTCGACAGACTGCCCGTGATTTTCGCAAAGCTGAGTTGCGTGTGATGGGTGCTGACGAGGCTGAGACAGTTGACACTCTTCGATATCTGGAATTGGTGGTTTGTGAGCAAGCCCAACTTTTGAGAAAGCTGGCGCCTCTTCGATCTCTGAATAGCTTCTTCGATTTCTGAGCTCACCTCTTCGATCTCTGAAATCCCATTGCGTGCTGATTTTTATAGAGATATGCAGGACGTTCAAAGCACTCTTGAATTTCTGTCTGTAAAAACTCCCGTTTTGCACTTTTACGATCTTGACTTGTCCGATCTCCTCTTTCTTTAACACTTCTGAAAAATGTCTGGCCCTTCCGACCGTCGGTGATGAAAAATGACATGACCGCTGCGGTGGTGGCCCGGAACCTTGTCACCCCCAGAGATAACAGACTGCTCGCTAGACGGTCTGATGAATTGGCGGTTAAGGAGTCTCTGGCTCTTAGCGTGCAGTGTGCGGGTTCTGTGTCCAACATGGCCCAACGCCTATTTGCTCGAACCGGTCACGTTGAATCGTTGGCGGCTGAAATACAGAGTCTCAAAGAGGAGATTAGAGGACTCAAGCATGAAAATAAATAATTGCACAAGCTTGCACACAATTATGCCACAAACATGAAGAGGAAAATTGACCAGCTGCAGGAAACTGATTGTCAGATTTTACTTGATCACCGGAGGTTTGTGGGTTTGTTCCAACAGCATCTGCCTTCGTCTTCTTGGGCGGCACCGCGTAGTGAAGCTCCAACTGATCAACCTCCGATACCTCCTCCTTCTGTGGCCCCACCGACTGCTGAGACTTCGCCGACTACTGTAACTCCGCCGACTACTGCGACCTCTCCCAAGCAGCCTTTGTGAAGGCTCCCTCTTGTATTATGCTATGTTTCTTTATTTCCCAGTTTCCTGTTCATTTCCATGAAGTTTAATGTTAAAATCCTTTGCATATTTGTTAATGTTTCAAAATAGAAAGTCATAACCAAAAATAATTAAACAAGTAATAAAATTGACAATCAAGCAGAATAAATGGGTTGCCTCCCTTAAAGCGCTTGCTTTAACGTCTTCCAGCCGGACGATGAACACCTTCACTTCTCCTTGGAACCCACGGCATGCAGTGGGATCTCCTCCACAACATGCTCCACAAAGTGCTCGTAGTATGGCTTCAAGCGATGTCCATTCACCTTGAATTCTTGCCCGGTTCTCAAGCTCTTAATTTGGACTGCACCATGCACAAAAAGATTAGTAACAACAAACGGGCCAACCCACTTGGAACGTAACTTACCAGGGAATAGACGAAGGCGGGAGTTGAACAATAACACTTTCTGCCCAATTTCGAAAGTCTTGCCTCTGAGCATCTTATCATGGAATGCCGTGGTCTTCTCTTTGTAAATTCTAGCATTCTCATAAGCTTCATGCCTTATCTTATCAAGTTCACTCAATTGAAGCTTTCGATGAATTCCGGCTTGGTCCACATTCAAATTGAAGGTCTTGATGGCCCAATGTGCTCTATGTTCTAATTCCACGGGAAGATGACATGGCTTGCCATACACAAGCCGAAAAGGAGACATACCAATAGGGGTTTTGTAAGCCGTTCGATACGCCCATAATGCATCATCCAACCGTAAGCTCCAATCTTTTCTATTTGGCCCAACGGTCTTCTCCAAAATCTGTTTGATCTCACGATTCGACACCTCGGCTTGGCCATTGGTTTGGGGGTGGTAAGGTGTGAAGACCTTATGCGTCACATGGTACTTCTTGAGTAATGCCTCAATGGTACGGTTGCAAAAATGAGACCCGCCATCACTGATTAGCACCCTAGGCATCCCAAACCTAGAAAAGATATTAGTTTTCACAAAATCTGCCACAACTTTAGAATCGTTAGTTCGAGTGGCTTTCGCTTCCACCCACTTGGAAACATAATCAACGGCAAGTAATATGTAAGTGAAACCAAAAGATGAAGGAAAAGGACCCATAAAATCGATACCCCAAACATCAAAGATTTCAACAACAAAGATGGGTACCTGCGGCATTTGATCTTTTTGGCCAATATTACCTGTCCTTTGGCATCGATCACATGTTAAACAAAAGGTTCTAGCATCTTTAAACAAAGTAGGCCAATAAAAACCACATTCAAGAACCTTAAAAGCTGTCCTTTGGGTGCCAAAGTGACCCCCACATGCATATGTGTGACAAAAACTTAAAATTGAGTGAAAATCTGATTCATGCACACATCTTCTTATAACCTGATCTGAACAATATTTCCACAAGTATGGGTCATCCCAAACATAAAATCTAGCATCCTTTTTAAGTTTATCACGTTGGAATTTGTTTAGGGTGCTAGGAACTTGTTTAGTCACCAAATAATTCACCAAATCTGCGTACCAAGGAGCACTTACCTGAACGGACAAGAGTTGTTCATCCGGAAATGTTTCGGAGATGGGAAGATCCTCTTCTTCATGCACCAACCTGCTTAGGTGGTCGGCAACAACATTATCACTCCCCTTCTTGTCCTTGATTTCGATGTCAAACTCTTGAAGTAGAAGCATCCAACGAATGAGTCTAGGTTTAGCTTTTTTCTTGGTGAACAAGTACTTCAAGGCTGCATGGTCAGTGAAAACAATAACTTTAGTACCAATTAGATATGATCTAAATTTATCTAAAGCAAATACAACCGCCAAAAGTTCTTTTTCGGTTTTAGAATAATTCAACTGAGCATCATTCAAAGTGCGTGAAGCATAATAAATAACATGTGGCTGTTTATTTTTTCTTTGACCCAAAACAGCGCCAAGTGCATAATCCGATGCATCACACATCAATTCAAAGGGAATGGACCAATCTGGGGGAGTTATGATGGGTGCCGTGGTGAGGAGCTCCTTGAGATGCTTGAATGCATTCTCACATGCCTCGTTGACTCAAATGACACATCCTTTTGTAGGAGACAGCATAGAGGTTGTGCAATCTTGGAAAAATCCTTGATAAATCGTCTATAGAATCCTGCATGACCAAGGAAAGAACGAACCTCTCTCACCGAAGTGGGAGAGGGTAAGTAGCGTACAAGATCTATTTTAGACTTATCAACTTCAATTCCACGTTCAGAGATAATATGACCCAAAACAATACCTTGTTTAACCATAAAATGGCATTTCTCCCAATTTAACACAAGGTTTGTTTCAACACAACGTTTCAAGATTAAAGTGAGATTATCCAAGCAATTATCAAATGAATTACCAAACACACTAAAATAATCCATGAATATCTCAATAATTCTCTCAACATAATCAGAAAAGATGCTAACCATACACCTTTGAAATGTGGCAGGAGCATTGCACAAACCGAATGGCATGCGTCGATATGCAAACGTTCCAAAGGGACAAGTAAAAGTGGTATTTTCTTGATCAGCCGGGGAATAACAATCTGATTATAACCGGAGTATCCATCAAGAAAGCAATAAAAGGAATGACCTGCTAACCTTTCGAGCATTTGATCTAGGAACGGTAATGGGAAGTGATCTTTCCTAGTGGTTGCGTTTAGCTTCCTATAATCAATGCACACTCGCCAACCAGTTTGAATCCAGGTGGGCACAAGCTCATTCTCCGCATTCTCCACAACCGTCACTCCAGATTTCTTGGGTACACATTGGATAGGTGAAACCCAGCGGCTATCGGAGATGGGATAAATCACCCCACAATCTAGAAGTTTGATTATCTCCTTTTTCACCACTTCCATCATCGGAGGGTTAAGACGGCGTTGAGCCTCTCTAGTTGGTTTGGCCTCCTCCTCAAGAAATATGTGATGCATACAAGTCGTAGGGCTTATACCTTTAATATCGGCCAATGTCCAACCTAGGGCAGATTTGAACTCCTTCAAAACTTGAACTAGTTTCTCCTCTTCTTGTGCCGTGAGGGATGAGGAGATGATGGCAGGTAGTGTCTCGTTTTCCCCCAAAAAGATGTACTTCAAATGGCTTGGTAGGGGTTTGAGATCAAGTATGGGTGCCTGAATGATGGATGGAAGCAACTTGTTAGTCGAAATTGGAATTGAATCAAAGTTAGGAGACTTACCACCATGCTTAGGTAGTGACTCAAGGGCAGCAACCAACTCAAAAATTTCATCACTAGGGGGCACGGCATGGCCTAGTCCATGTATGCTGTGGGTTGCCCTAGAATCTGCCCCCTTGGTTGTGAGTTCCATTCCTCGTGTAATGACTTTTTCAAGCGCATCATCATTCAAATCTTCAAGATATCCCTGCGCCAAAGAGTCAATTATATCAATAGAGAAACATGAATGGTCCTCACTAGGGTACTTAATGGAATCAGAAAGATTAAAATTAACAACTTCCCCATCAAATTCCATGGACAACGTTCCACTATACACGTCAATCTTCGTCCGGGCCGTCTTCATGAATGGCCTTCCAAGGAGGATGGGCAATGAAGGAGCATGATCCGATTCATCCATTTCGAGCACATAAAAATCTGCTGGGAAGACTAAATGATCAACCTGCACCAAAACGTCTTCCAACACTCCTTTTGGATAAGCGTTAGATCTATCGGCCAATTGTATGATTACACCATCATGTTTCAATTCACCTAAGTTCATAGATACATAAATGGAGTATGGCATAACATTTATAGAGGCTCCTAAATCTAGCATGGCAGATTTGAAACGAGTGTTACCAATGACGCACGGAATTGTAAAGCTACCCGGATCTTTGCATTTGGGGGGTAGTTTACGTTGCAAGATGGCGGAGACATTCTCACCTACCTTTACCACTTCCTTAGTCGCCATCCTCTTCCTAGTGGTGAACAACTCCTTCAAAAACTTGGCGTACCTCGGGACTTGCTTGATTGCATCCAACAAAGGTATGTTTACTTGAACTTTCCTAAATGTCTCAAGGATGTCCTTTTCAGCTTCCTCCTTCTTTGTTTGCATAAACCTACTAGGAAAAGGAGCATTCGAAGGAAAAACATTAGTAGGAACCGAATTTGACACATTCTTACCTTTATTGGCCGATTTGGACAGATTGGGGACATTAGAAACTTGCGGCAAAGGTGCTCCCATCTATGCCGTGAGTGGGCTTGCTTCCTCCTCTTCAAATTGAAGTTTTTCATCCTCTTTGTGACCTGTTTTTGATGAAGAACCTGCCCCAATCTCTTTTCCACTTCTCAAGAGTATGGCCTTTGCACTTTCAAAGCCTCCCTTCGGGTTTGGAATGGTAGAACTAGGAAGCCTTCCTTGGTCTCTAATCTGCCCAACAACCTCGGCAATCTACCCCATTTGTTTATCTAGTTGGTCCACTCTTTTGTTTTGATTTTCCTGCCCATTAGTCAAAGTGGTTAGTAACTTAACAAGTGTATCATTATCCAAAGCATTACCTGAAGTATTTGGGGCAGATTGTGGTTGGACTTGAGGGGGTGCGTATGGTTTGTTGTAGAAGCCCGGGGGTTGTTACCTAAAGCCTCCTTGTGGTTGGGCTTGTTGTGGCTCTCTCAATTTGAAGTTTGGATGGTCTCTCCACCCCGGATTATACGTGTTGGAATATGGATCATGTCTTGGCTGATTTTGGCTTTGAAACCCAATGGCATTAGCGCTCTCCCATCCACCATTCTCAATGAGTTGAGGACACTTTTCGGATGCATGTCCTTGGATAGAACATACGCCACACACCATGGGTCCTTGAATCTTCATTCCCTCGGCCATCTGTGAAACAAGAGAAGTAAGATTAGCTAACTGAGATTGAATATTGGAAGTGGAACTTACCTCATGCACTTGTTGCCGTGGGGGTCCTCTTTGGCCTACACCTTCGTATTGTTGAGCGTTCAACGCTCGATTAGCAATCAAGATTTTTGCAGCCATGGGCGTTTTGTCTACCAATGCTCCACCCGCCGAGGCATCGAGCATTTGACGTTCTAGTGGTAGGAGCCCTTCGTAGAAGTATTGCAAAAGCAATTCCTCCTTCATCTGATGCTGTGGACAAGAAGCAACAAGTGATTTAATCGTTCATAATATGTAGGAAAAGATTCACCTTCATCTTGTTGAATTCCACTTATTTTTTTACGAAGAAGAATGATGCGAGAAGTTGGGAAAAACTTCTCCAGAAACGCCCTCTTCATACTCTCCCAAGATGTAACTGTACCGGGAGCCAACTCGTACAACCAATCCTCGGCTTTGTCCATTAAAGAGAACGGAAAAGCCTTCATCTTTAAAATACTTTCGTCAACGGTAACCGGAGTCATACTTGAGCACACCACTTCAAATTCTTTCAAATGTTTGTTCGGATCCTCCATGGACAGCCCATGGAACTTTGGAATGTGGTGGAGCAAACTTGACTTTAACTCGAACTCTTCGGTTTTACCTTGGGCAGCCATGGGATATTGGATACACAATGGTGCGGCATTATCCAAACCCGAGGCGGCAAGCTCCTTGAGCGTACGGTTGTCCATGGCTATACCTTACACTTCTCCACCCACTTGTGCCGTGGGATCCTCCTTGTGCTGTTGTTTCCTCCTTCTACTCAAAGTTCTCTCGAAGTCGTCGTCAAAGTCCAAAATATGCTCACGAATAGGTCGGGAACTTCGAGTCATGCACTAGTACCTAAAAACAAAGAAAACAAAACAAATCAGCAACTTAAACAGAAACTTAAACAAAATACAATAATTCGAAAGAAAACAATCCAAGAGATTAGAAAAGTTGCTAATCCCCGGCAACGGCGCCAAAATTTGATGTGAAAAATAAGTTAACACACAAAATTAAACCCTCTTTTTATCAATTGTAACAAAGTATGTAAGTAGGGATCGTTCTAAATCGGGGATTATGAGGGATTGCTAAACACTTGAAAACTGACTTAGAAATGTAAAAACAAAGTTTAAAACACTAGATTAGACTCAAAGAATGCAAAACTCACATTTAAAATACTAAAATAAACCAATAACTCAAAACAGCAACCAAAAGACAAAACACTTTCTGGGCAGTTTTGAACACAAAGCACCAATTTGGACGAATTTGGGTTTTAACTTGTACCAAAACACTTAAAAACATAAACCAACACACTTTCTAACTAATCTAGGACTTCAAAATAAATGGGGAATTGATTTGGACGAAAATGAACTAAATGGACAGATTGCAAGGAAAACAGATTGTAATAGAAACAGATTGTAACACAAAGTTATGAATAATCAATGGATGATGGAATGGCTAAGGGGTTCTTCTCCACACATGAAATATATGCAACCTAAATCAATTTTTAGTTATCAATTTAATAAGTTATGAATCTCGACACTCCAAGTTAATTAGGTCCGCTTAAATTAACCTTCAGATTTCCCTAGAATCATTAAATTGGATGAATATGCATCGCAAACAAATTATTCCCAAACAAGTTCTTTATACGAACAACATGATAAAGACACAAGTTAGAATCATTACGTTCTTTGGAAATCATAAGCATCGACAAGGCATTCGTAACTATGAAAAGCATGATACTCTTGCCAGGAATCTACTTAACACGATTGTGACTAGCGACCTTCACTACTTACGAATATAAATTCATAACGATTAGGTGAAACAAACTTATATCCTAGCATCAAATTCAAGCATGCAAATTAAGCGTGCACTCTCAACCAACATACAAGAATAAGTTCTAAATCAAACGGTTAAACAAATTGTATTCACGACTTATACAACGATAACTGAAAGTAATCAACTTATTTCACATATATAATCATGGTTTTGAATCCACCCTTAGCCAAAACGAAATTAGCCAATCATACTTAAAGCAAAACAAAGATTACATGAATTAGACATTAAAATCCAAAGAAAGAAAACACCTAGAATGCTCCAACTTGGCAGCAAGTGCATCCAAGATTCCTCATTTCCCTTGCTTGTGGCAGATTGGTTTGTGGATAGGTTTGGGTAGTTCTATGGTGCAGAAAGGTTTATGGTGAGTGTAGAGGAGTGTTTGATGGTGGAAGGGTGGTGGAGAACTTCGGCAAAGAGGGTGGAAGAAGGTGGAGTGGCTGTGATATTTTCTGGGCACTAAAATGGTGTTTTTGGGGTGTTTTGCTGCCTAGGTTGAGTATGGACGAATTTCTGTGATGAATGGTGAATATGAGAGTGTGAACCCTTTGCCAAGGGGTGTAAACATGTATATATAGGCCCCAAAAACCCTAGAGAATCAGATTGGGCAGTGGGGAAAATGCACAGCAAGGAGGGTGAATTTGTGGTGTGCAATGGTCCAAGGATGAAAATGGAGCAATGATGCAAAGTATGGAGGGTAAAATGGAGTGGTATTTCAGCTAGGGAGCATGAATGATTGTGTTCATTGCATGGAAATGAAAAGGGGAGGTGAAATGTTTCAGAAATTAGTCAAAGGTGCAGCAACATGTGTTGCACACAGCCTTGGATCCCAAATGTGGATGATGGAGCATCAATTGGTGCATGGAATGGTTGTGAAAGTTGTGTGAAATCTGATGGGTGAAGGGAACAAGAGGTATGCAGCAATTGAGTGTGATAATTGAGTGAATTGAGGCATGAAATCAGAAATATTTTAGGGGACAAGGATGATTAAGCATGCATGGGAATCCAAAGGAAATGCTATGTGGTTACACGGCAAGGAGTGGGTGTTCTTTTGTGGCTGAATTCTTGATCCTTTGTACATTAATTCTTCACATTCTTAGCCTCTTTAATTCTTCAATTTCGTCCAAACCTTGGTTCCAAATACTTGACATGCATTCCAAGGAGCATTTTGCTCCAAAATGCTCCAAAATGCATCTTCTTGCCTACTTTGTCCTTAAAATCTGAAAACACACGAAAATGACTTTAAACACTAAAATAACTAAAGAGACACGACATAAATGCACAAGAACAAGCCAACTAAGTCGCAAAAATATGCTCCTATCACCCATGGCAGAACAAACGGCTTTGATATCTGCATGGAAAGTTTTGGAGTGTCTTTCCTAGCTACCAAAGTATCAAACGGATTCATGGACGCCAAGTACCCTCCATCGCGCGTTTGAACCACGCACCCTAAGCTCTTTCCGAGATCAGGAAGGAAAACTTCTGCTGCTTCACACTCACCAGATTCCTCAGTCCCTTCAAGCTTGAGAGGAGGGATCTCACTTCGATTCAGTTTATATTCATTTAAGATCTCCTCCTCCTCAAGCATTTGAAGAAACTCCTTTGTCACATTTTCTTCATCCGCCTTCAATTTTTGTGATTTGATATCTTCTTCATCTTCATCCTTTTCGTCATTTTTTTCTTTCCCCATCAAAGACTCAAGAGCCTTAATCTGCTGTGCAATTGAATCAAGTTCTGTCAATCTTGTTGTATGCACTTTGTCATGCACAATTTCCTTCACAACCTCACTTGATGTTGCCGATTTTTTGCCAATAGACGTTTCGGATTGCTCCTCCCCATATTCCTCTTCCTTGTCTTGGAATTCAACTCCTTTATCCATTAGCTTAAAGTTTGGTAGATCAAGCTCCTCTACTTTTGGCGCTTCCGGTTCTTTTTCCTTCTGAGCTGTAGAAAAAGAAGATGATGATATAGGAACGGGGTTTGGTTCGTCAAGGTTAAGTTCATCAATCCATTGGAGATCAGTTGCTTTTCTTCCTTGTGAAGGTGTCTATGCTTCTCCTCTGCTGGAAAGTTTTGGACTAGGCACACTAAATGAAGTTTTTGATTGCTTCCTAGCAAAAGCAGATGATAAATTCTTGGACTTACCGGACTTCAAATCCTCAGCCTGACTGTAAATTCCAACTCCTTCATCATTCTCCATAATCTGAAACCCTAGTTTTAGAACAAGCTCACCACATTTTGCCTTCCCTAATAGTTTAAAACTTATATCCCATTGCCAAATTCATTGACCTTCGTGGCTTTTCTTAATGGATTCCAGAATCATCTGACTCAAATCCACATTGCTTTTCCCAAAATCAAGCTTCTCTGTATCAACTGCAAACAAATATACCCAGAAGGGTCTCGGCTCAAACTTCGTCTGCTTTCCATGGCCGGAACTGTAATAAACATGGCACCGAAGGAAAAAGGTCTCTTCGAAATCAGCAATTCCTTGTGTTACCCTTGACATCATTGTTTAAACCGCTCCCTCTTTTGTTTCATTCTTTCTAACGCAGATAGAAAGTCTAAGGCCATTCATTGAAGCCAGAAGGCCTTGCGCGGTGGCAACTTCAACAGAAAATAAGAGCTCAGCTTCTGCATTCCAATGTGGGAAATAACGCGAATTGGTTTCCACTTCCAGATACCTTTTTTCTCAGTGGTGGCAGTTGCCTTATCATCCAAGCTTCTTAGCTCCGGTGAATTATATTTCGTTGCCTTCTTGCCTCGATCCTTTTGCTCATCTTCCTCATCACTAGTAAGTTTTGGGCGGGAGTGCCACGGGGACAAAGACATCCGCCTTCGTGATTTGTTGTTGAGTCTAATCTCCTGAACATTAGCCGGAACAAGTTCATCTTTAGAAGGTATGGTAAGAACTAAGCTTCTTGGAAGAACAAGGGAGGCAGTTCTTCGAGTACTAGTACTCGAAATGTGGGATGTGTAGAGTGACTTGCTAAGCACTTCAAGCTCTTCCAGAAGCTGAGTGTTGGAATTTCTCCAGTTGCTGGATGAAATTCAGCTGCCATTGGAGAAGAGAAGAAAAGGGTGGGAGAAAATTGGTGCAATAGGTGGGAATGGGATTGAATTCACATGCATGGAAATGGAATGAAGGGGGAAATTAGATAAGGGAATCACTTGGTTGATTGGTTTTTGAGGTGGAGAAACTGCCATGGATTATGGTGATGAATGTGAGGGTTGATTGATTATCTTTCCAGAGCCTATGAAACGTGTGAAGGATAAGAGGACAACGCCTCTTCCCGTTTTGTTCTTTTCTGGTGAAAGAGATGGGTTTGAGACATTAGGCAGGGACACTGGTCCCATAGAAATAAATGGTTTGTTCTATCTGTCATGGTAATGTAATGTGTACATTTAGTTATTTAAATTACTATAAGGTTTCCACTTTCCATGAAGCTTCTGACATTGTTTTCACTTGCAATGCATTCCAAGGGAATGGGACTTTCGTATTTCAGGGTGTATTACCCTCGTTTCTTTCTCATACATGAGGATACATCTCGTGATGTGTGAGAAAAGAACGACTATGATAGGTAAGTCTTTTCGCTTCCAAGTAGGCACTTGTTTTGTTATTTTCGTTGTGTCAAGCAGGCATGGACTGAGCCACAAATATCAGGATGGGTTGAGCTTTTGAATTAGCTCAAGCATTAAAAGTAAGTGAAGAAATGAGTTAGGATTAAATTAAGTCAAATCTACGATTGACTTCTATTCTAAATAAAAAAAAAGGAAAACTAATGAAAAGGGCTTGAAAACTTTGAGTTTTAATGATAAGGACAAAATAAAGGGTAAAGTGAATAGTACCAGGATTGACTTTTTAGTGTAAAAATGTGGTTTTTCGTTAAAGTGAATAGTACCAGATGCTTTTCGTTAAAGTTCCCTAAAAAAAAAGGTACCAAATAAGAAAGATAAACTATTTGTTAATTTCAAGATGTGACTGAATGCAATAAAATATAATTGAAAAGACAAGATCGCTTGATTGGTGTATACGTGGAGCTTGAAGAGCTTTAACTTAACAAACTTACTTGCCAATAGTTTAAATTGAATGCATGGATAGTGATAGGTGACATCAAGGCTTCCTTCCTTCCTCTGTTACCTATTTCACATTTATGAATTATTAAGCAAGTGAATTGGGCACAGATATTCGAGGCCGGTGGCCGAAACTACTAATGTGTGATCGACAATTACAATTAATCCTAATAGGAAACAACAATGAAGTTACCCAAGGCGAGGATGTTATTTCATCTTCTTTTTTTTTTTTTAATTTATTTTTATTTTTTTTAACGTGGGATTCAATGCAATATAATCGTGAATGCATACATTCTTACATAGAATATTTAAACATTCACTGACAAGCGCTCTCCAATGTTTTACATGCCGACACTGATTCTGCTGGAATTTATTAATTACTTTGTTTTATTTATTTATTTTTATTTTTTTTGTCGAAATATTGTTTTATTTCAGTTGGGGTATTTTTTGGATTTATGTCTCTTAAGAGTGTGCTTTAGTTTTGTTTACATAAAAGTGCTTGCATTCGTTTATTTTATATAATTCAGTCACAACGAAGTCTTACTGATTATATCGTCGTCCCGTTAAATTTGTAGTGTCATCTATCATTTCAATTGATAAAGTATTATTCATAATTACATTTTATTCATTCGTTGCATGCTCGAATTTTCAACAGATTCTTGGGCGTAAGTTCAGTAAAAAAATAAAATAAAATGTGACTGTGAACACGGAAAATTCCTGAAACGAAAGAGACAAGAACGACGTGCACAAACAAATATTTGTATTTGATGATTTTGGGTTACAATCTCTCTCTATTTTGATCCTCTGATTCGATCTCCGTAAGGTGTGTATTTGTGGATGTTTCGTTGATCCAAGGGCCGTCGAGGCTTGATATTGGATGAACGTTCTCCAAGGGTCGTGGACTTGATCTTGAAGGTGGATTTGAGCGGATCTTCAAAGGGGCTTTTGGGCTTGATCTTTGAAGAACAGTGACGAACGGATCTCCAAGGGCTTTTGGGCTTGATTTTGAAGAACAGTGATGAACGGATCTTCAAGGGCTTTTGGGCTTGATCTTGAAGAACGGTTGGATGTGTGGATTTGTCGACGTTTGTTGATCCAAAGGGCCGTTGGGGCTTGATCTTGGATGAACTGATGATGAACGATGGTGCTTTCTTCAAGGGCCGTCGGGGCTTGATCTTGAATTGGTGGATGGTTGATCCAAGGGCCGTCGGGGCTTGATCTTGGAAGAACGATGAACGAAGAACGAAGAACACTTTCTTCAAGGGCCGTCGGGGCTTGATCTTGAATTGGTGGATGATTGTTGATCCAAAGGGCAGTCGGGGCTTGATCTTGGAAGAACGATGAACGAAGAACGAAGAAGGCTTTCTTGATTCTTCGGGAACCTGGATGCTTGAGAGCTTCGGAGTTTCAGAGCTTCAGAGCTTCAAGGTGTAATATGAATTGGTTCCCCTCAAATGAATGAAATGGGCTTGTATTTATAGAATTTTCCAAGGCCTAATTTTGAATATAATATCCCAGATGAAATAAGTCGTTTCTGCCAGGTGTTGACACGTGTCCTATTTGATGACTTTTCCAACTCATTTCAATTTTCGTTGAGTCACACGCTACGTGTAAAATTTATGTAATACATGAGCGTTGACACTTTGATTTATCGGTCAACATTTATTTACCGAAATTTCGATGTCTACAGTGACGATGAACAAATGATACTTGAACATTTCCAAATTTGTATAGTCATCACTTGCACTATTTAGTTCGACAGAGGTGGCTTTGGGAGGGGGGGCAGCGAAAGGTGCAATCGTACATGGTTCCCAATTGAAAGGCTCCTACAAATTTTTGCCATCTAATATTTATATGTAATAATGCTATAATATATATATTAAAAAAATACTTTTATTAGTACTTTAAAATCTCATTGACACACCCCGACTCGGGATGTCCACTAGGACTCCGAATCGAGCTGTGTTGGCCGACACTTGGAAGGTGACGAAGTCATAAAGTGTATTGATGTGGAAAATGTGAATAAATTTAAACCTAAAAATGCCTAAATACAAGAGTGCGCAGTGAGCGGGTATGAACCCATTTCACACGTGATGACAAAGCATAAGTACTGTACAGTAAAATAGGGTGAGAATAATACTATCGATGGTAATCGTTTACCCTAAGATTTGTCGATAATCCTCATCGGTACGAAAACTCTGCTACTAGAATCTAGAAGAGCGAAAAATAAGGGTGAGTGGGCTTGAAAATAAAGTTTTAATAAAAACCTTTTTGAAAACATTATAACACCTCGCCGTAAAACCCGTATAGTTTCCAGAAAATAATAATACTATGTAGGTATGAAAACCAAAGCACAAGACCAGCGAAAACTGAAGTATGCCATGTCATAATATCTCAGCAATAATAAATGTAAGCCAGGTGTGAAACCAATATAAAATAGTATACCAGTCAGAGTCACCTAACATGACTTGTACGACTGGATCTGTAGCTCATCAACACATGTCTGCACATGAGTCGGAGTCACCTAATGTGACTTGTACGACAGGCAGGGTATAAATAAGTACGCTCAAGTGCTACGATCATGTGAAAGTTGTGCGATAAATCACGGGTCAACTATGAGTCGGAACTGCCTATTATGGTCTGTACAACAAGCTAGCACCAAAACTTGGATCCAAGGTGAGCATGTGGTGCAGGAGGTGAACAATCACGTGAAAGCTGTGCCCTGGCCTCGGGCGAGTGCACTAACACTGGGGTGCAGCATAATAAGCTCTAAATGCATAAATACATAGCAATATGCAATGCGACAAGACCAATCACATGTTAACTCACCTGAAGCTTACCTGAGCCTCTGCAACATTAAATAGTATAATTCACAATTCATACTAATGCAACAATATAGTAATAAGCGTTATAGACATGACATACAAAGCATAAATTCATTTTAAAACGTTTTCTGGAAATCGTAAAGCTTATATATATATATATATATATATATATATATATATATATATAACAAATGCCCAATCACCTGAGGTCCGCACTACAACTCCCTAGTACAAATATCGAGGCACCACGAACAATTATCACCTAGAACAAAAATTCAGTTACGTCTCAAAATTCTTATCGATATAACACATAACTTACATAAAACACATCCCCAAGGATGTTCTAAAATGATTTGAGACCCATTGAACAAAAGTCAACCGTCGGTCAAAGATCGACGGTAGGGTCCATAACTTGACGTAACTCGATCCGAAAGATCTGCACCATATATTTTTTATTTGTAACTTCCAAAGATCCACATTATGCTTAAAACTTCATACTAAAGTTTCATTACAATCCAACGGTTGGATCTCCACCAATTGTAAATTCAAGTGGCGGTCAATATTTTATTTTATGAACTTACAAATCCAATTTGGAAAGATCCGTACATCGGAT